AAATGTATTATTGTTATTACCACTATTATTATATCTCAAAGTTGAATCCAAATACTAGCTCACTGGCGTGTGTGTAAATTTGGTTATTAAGACTGTGCCATAAAGTATGTATATTTGCGAGTAAGCACTGCTACGAAATTTAGCGAATTTCACTTGTATACCTCTACGCATCTTGGTGGGTTGGTTGTTGTCATGAAAGTGCAGCTGACTTCAGGTTACGAAGCTGGACTATCATATTGCTATAAGCCATCGTTAGAGAGGATCGGCGGACGATTCCCACTCTTCCTGGAGTACCTGTTTGGACTCTGGCCACGTGCTTGTACGGGCTCATGTATGTCTGCGCTCTGCTGGTCGCAGAGAACAGGTGATAGTAAACCCTGTCTGTAGTCTATTAGGAGATGAGAACGTCAAATACGAATTACGGAAGTATTCATTTATCTAAACGTGACTGCAATGCTTATCTTGAGGAAACCTGACGTGATATTAAGTCTGTTGTAGAAACAGCGGTAAACACATTTGGTAACCTACACCCGAATGTTAGCAAATGTCATTATATTTCCGCGACGTCATCCGGACTGATTGGTGCAGGAAGATTGGTTTCAGCAGGCTCTCACTATGGAGAGCGAAAGCAACTGAAACGTAAGTTGACCAACAGTTTTCACATCGTTCGCGAAGGAGAAGGCAGCGTTGGGTAACACTCGGCAACTATTTAGGCTTATTAATGATACTGAAAAAAGGAAGACGATAATTAATAAAACCATCATTGAGAGGGATATGACACTGACTACCCCCTAGAACAGGCGGCTAGAACGTTGGGCAGAACATCTTGAAGCACAGTTCAACTGCCGACAGCAATCCTTCAGTTTCCCAACATCCAGCCTCAACCTTAGTGAGACATGGGTGTCGGTCCACTAACTCTCCTTCACTTTGACAAGCTGAAACGCTAGAAGGGAGCAGGACCTGACGATACGACACCCAACGTTTTCAAAAATAGACGACGAACTGGTAAACGAACTAACACTTGCGATTGAACTGCTCTACATTGATTCCAGTTAACGTACTGACCCTAACTGGAATGTCTACATTATAATCCATGGATCACTAAATACAATACCTTTTGATCATCTTGAAACTTCTTCATCCCCACTTGGCCTGCATCATGAATTGAGGTAGATGACGGTGGGGGCAGAATAGTCTGTCAACGTGGGTAATAAGGACTGATGTATACACGCCGAAGAACATTGTCGGTATCACTTTTCTCTAGCGTTAACCATATCTCACATTAGCCTCGGAATCAATACATTCACTAACAAATGGAGTAGATAAAATTTACCACACTACAGGAGACCGGGAAAGAGATTAATAGATAACCGCAATACCGATGATAATCTAGAGTTTTATACTGAGCATTCCGTCAGGTAGTTTTTGTGGAACGGGCTGGTGGCTGACAAAATCTCATCTCGGATATACAAGGCTCGTTTACTACTTCCCAACTCCCCTCATCCCTGGCACCCACTTGAAGGATATCCCATTATTTATAAAAAGACAAGTATACTACACTGCAGTTCATCCTATCCTATCGTTCGGCTGTGAGACATGACTGTTGAAAGCAGAAGACAGGAAACCGTCACAGATTTTCGACCATAGATGTATTCGTAGCTCTGCTCGCGTTTGCTGGAATTATCTTGTGAGTAATGCTGAAGTGAGGCGAAGGGTACTAGATAAGTCAGACAAGTCGGTTGATGAGGCGGTAAATCTTCGTCGTGTGGGGCGGCTTGGATATATAATATGTTGTGCATACCAAGTCACTACCTACCTCGACGTGCCATTCTAAGGGAGGCTGGATTAGGTTGGAAGAGTGTTCAGGTTGGCCAGACCAAGACGTTACACCAGTCCATGAAGTCCTTGACTCTTAGTCTGAGCCATATGGTGAGATGCAGACTCTCTAGCTGGGGTCTCCGCGAGATGATGGTCAGTGTCAGTGGTTGACAAATCTTAGTGAGATAAATGGAAATCGGTCTCAGTGGTGCAGATGTATTCACTCCTTGGAATCTAAAGCCTGAATATTTGCACTAACCGTTATCTTAAAATTGTCTATTCTCTCACACCATTTTGTCTACTTAGATGTCAGTTTTTTGTATCCACTTTTTTCTGCATAATACTATGAAGGGGGTTGGCAGCTTGAGTGGACTCACTTTTGTACGAGGTTCTGCTTTGATTTTGTCCGAATATCGTTTTGGATGAAGGTTAACTAGGAATCTGGGCATTGGAGGAAACGATTCCCAATAATCGTTGTTTCTAAGCGAACCACTCTTTATACTGTTGAGTAATTTAAAAGTTAGATCCTATCACGTCCATATTGTGTGAACATTTTAGATTTTAAGAAAACTGTTGATGTCTCTCTTGTCTTGTATTGTTCTTTTACTCTACTCATTCATGAATGAGTTTTAGATAAGGATGAGCATCTTGAAGTTTCCCGGTAAACATGTTATTCCTTAGCTGAAGGTTTAGGTTTTACTGTAGTTCTTGCAGATTTGCAGGCCGTAAGTGGATTTTCAGGTACTCTTGTCAATTTTGAATGAAGACCATTTCTGCTGAATCAGTTTAGACAGTTGAACCTAGTTATGATATGCTACGGGGACAGCTCACAAAAATGGAAGGGATATTGCATCTGATAATCATTAGGCAACGGAAAATGAGAGCTGTTAAATTAATAACATGCGTATTTCTCGATAATAAGATAAGAATGCAGCCACTTGTCTTTTGAGAACTCGATTGCTGTCACCTATGCTATCTGATCTCCCGATGTTTTCACTTTGCACTCTGAACTACGTTTGCAGGAAACTGTTTGCATACCTGTCTGTCTGCATTCAATGTGTTCTAAGTCGACTTGGGTACTTTCAACTCAGGTAGGTTGTACTTTTTTGGATGCTTGTCACATTGGCGATGTAAATACGAAAGGAGTGACAAAATAGGTAGCATTGCCACTGTTTTGCATATCTGCATTTCGGCATTCAGGTAGTTAAAAAGATAACAGAAAGTAAGACTTCAGGTCTGATAAAGAAGAGTATAGTAACATGACTATACTCTTGTTTCATGTGACTAGGTTGCATTGGAGTCGTAAATCACATTGCAACTGTCAACGTATTCAGTAAAAACACAGTTATATTCCTCAATTCGTTCATTATGTACAGCGGACAGGTTACATCATAAACCTCATTATGTTCGTTAAGTACCTATTTTCACTACCGATACGAAATGTCCGTAAGGCTGCTGTTGGCTTGAAGCAGGGTACTTGGCAATGTAGAATAATTGGATGGTATCTTATGAGCGATCGAGGCTTTTCGAGCTGTCTTCTTGGATATATTTATCGTCAGTTCACACATCGATTGTAGGATTTGAGCGTAGCATTATACACTAACTTATCAGCTTCCGTGTTTGCTCTCCCTAGGAGTATGTGTGCGTGTGAGCATAAATTCAAAGCTAGGAAGCAAACAATTCACAAAGTTTCTGTATTGTTTTCAAACTATACACTCAGTTGTTCACTGTCACTTCTCGTTACCGTAGTGATCCGAAATAAATTTTGTGCAGTATTTGGTACATAGGAGTAGTTCTACTTCTTTCATGCGGCCGAGTGAAGTCACTACTACAAGTTGGAGAGTTGCAGAATACCGAGAACTCATTGTATCTGAAACGCTGTCCATAATGTTTACATTCTTATATCCTTGTGATATATAACTCAGTGACTACGCCTAGGTTTATTCATGAAATAGTAGGACACATAACTATACAAGTGCTGTGATACCACACGGGGACCCAAACATCAATAAATAAGGCAGGCTTGGAACGTTTGACTATGGGTTTAAAAGTCTTGCAACCGCCTAATTAAACTGTAGCACGGTCGATAATCGGGTATTTCACCGGTGACAGATTTTGCGTAAGGTGGCTAGTGCCGAATGAGATACTTGCGTCAAAGTTCAGATCTCATCGACAGTCAACTTCATCACACGCAAATCGTTAACACGCAATATGGTAATTATGAAAAAGACAGGTCGAAATGCCAGTGGTGGTGATGGTGTGGATGGGTTACTGGGGCAAGAGTCCACCAACCTTAAACAGTGGACTAGTATCATATAGGTTACCCACGTGAATAGTGTTCGCTAGCCTGAGGACTGGATTGGGGAAGTATATATGTATTGGGGTATGATTTTGAGTAGTGGGATGAAGAGTGCTTGTGCTGGTATTGCATCTGTTGGTGCACCATGACGTCGTGGATGGGCTTCGAGAGATCATGTGATCAAGTCATAAGTGTCTGCGGATGTTGTCAGATGTAGTCGAGTATGGACAACATTAACAATAATGCTGTAGAGTTTTGTTCTTCTGAACTAGGTGAAACTGGCTTTTTCATTTAACCTTTGTGTGTGTATAAGTAGTCACTTTTGAAGTGAATTCAATCACCTGTTTTGCTTCTTTTTTTATAGGCCTTCTAGGATTGTCTCCTAATCAGTACATACTTAATGTGGATGCGATTTTCATGTAGGTATCAATTGTTCAATCATTACTGTAAAAGGCTCATGCATTTAAAAAGCTGTCAGAGAAATCCTAGTATGCTTTCGAATTCTCTCTTTCCATACTTTCTTGTCAGTCCAACTGTTAATCAGGAATGCAAAAGATTGAACACCGAACTGTTTATCCCACTTTTGGTGTCAACTTCAACTGATGTGAAAAGCCAAGAAAATCATAAACAAAGACGATTTTTTTCCGAACGTCCAGCTGATGAACTGCTCTCAGTGTTCTTATCACATCTTGTGTCTTCCATAAATTGTCGGTATTTGAAAGGGAAAAATATATCGAACACAGATGTGGTTTACTTAGCTACACAAGCCGATGTGTTTTACACAAATGCAAAGGAATCTGCAACTCTGACAGAATGTGACAAGAACAAAACACTTGAAGACTGTTTCCTGTCTGAATTTGACATCAGCAAACCGTGTAAAATGTTTTTGCAAATTAACTTTTGTTTATCACATGATCCTCAGAAAACTGAATCACTCATCTATACAGTTCATACAAATCCCGCACGTATATTGCATTGTCGTCTGAATACAATCCCGATGGTCGGTTGCCCTATGGTACCATATATTGAACATGAAAATATGTGTCTGGAAAAATCTGAATTCCTATGGTTTGTTGGTCAGGTAATCTTACTCCTTTTCTTGCTGTTTTTAACGCTCTGTTTTCAATTAAATAAGTAACAATGGGTTTTCCCCAAATCTCTGGTTTAAATTAATTAGTTAACTTTAACATGTATGTGCAAGGCCATCAAACACACTCGTGTGACCGCTTAGGATGCCACACCTGGTTGCCTAGACTGAAACAGTTGACATGTTCTTCAAATTTAAGATGCATTGCTTGAAAGTCGAGTTTTTTAATTAGTGAGCCACGTCCCCAGTTCACTTGAAATTGTATTATATATATTTTGTCCACATACTTTGTATTATCACAGGTTGATTTAAGTTAGGAGACTATTAAAAGCCAAGAGCACTGGTTGTATCTTCCTGGTCTATGGTTACTTGGTAATGAAATCTTACACGAAATAAAAAGCAGAAACTTTATGTTTGATACTTCCCTTGTAATCACTAAACCTTTAAGTTAAGATCTAATTCACGACAGAAGGTGACCATTAGGGAAATCCATCCACATTTCTGACTACACAAGTCACAGCTTCCCACTGGAATTTCAGGAAATTCATTTCAGTGCCAGGTAACCAATAAGCAGTGGTCTTTGTTTCAACTAAATGGAACCCACAAAATTTGAAAGATGTTAATTCTTGTTGTCAACTTGATGGTTGAATAGTTGCTTGCTGCCTACAAGACTTCATGGTTCCAAGTTCAATCTTGGACGAGGCTGATGTTTATCAATAACTAAAGAACCTGAATCGTAGAAGAAACATCTTTACAGCGTTTATTTTTATACGTCTGAAGCTTAGGTTAGTCAACGGATGCCACTGATCGATAGGCAGAGAGACACAAAATCAACGTAGAACTTCGTACAAAAGTGAGTCCACTCAAGCTGCCAACCCCTTCATAGTATTATGCAGAAAAAAGTGGATACAAAAAACTGACATCTAAGTAGACAAAATGGTGTGAGAGAATAGACAATTTTAAGATAACGGTTAGTGCAAATATTCAGGCTTTAGATTCCAAGGAGTGAATACATCTGCACCACTGAGACCGATTTCCATTTATCTCACTAAGATTTGTCAACCACTGACACTGACCATCATCTCGCGGAGACCCCAGCTAGAGAGTCTGCATCTCACCATATGGCTCAGACTAAGAGTCAAGGACTTCATGGACTGGTGTAACGTCTTGGTCTGGCCAACCTGAACACTCTTCCAACCTAATCCAGCCTCCCTTAGAATGGCACGTCGAGGTAGGTAGTGACTTGGTATGCACAACATATTATATATCCAAGCCGCCCCACACGACGAAGATTTACCGCCTCATCAACCGACTTGTCTGACTTATCTAGTACCCTTCGCCTCACTTCAGCATTACTCACAAGATAATTCCAGCAAACGCGAGCAGAGCTACGAATACATCTATGGTCGAAAATCTGTGACGGTTTCCTGTCTTCTGCTTTCAACAGTCATGTCTCACAGCCGAACGATAGGATAGGATGAACTGCAGTGTAGTATACTTGTCTTTTTATAAATAATGGGATATCCTTCGAGTGGGTGCTGCTTGACCTAACAGATCAGTTTTTTTACACTGGCTGGTTTTGAGAGCGAGAAGAGTGATTATGTGATGTTGTTGGTATTATGCTGTCGTTGATTGGACCGTATTGGTCGATCTCCATTGACATATGACCTCCTGTACAGATGCCTGGATATTGTCTATGTTTTCAGTTTTATTGCTAGTGATTATTAGGGGCTAACAGTGGAATGGATTACGCGCGTTTCGTCCTGCTTGAGACTCGTCAGCTGGAAGTACCTGCCTCGCGTCACGTGGTTTTTTTTCTATTAGGGCTTGAAGGGGCGACCGATCGCTTCGAATCCGAAACCAGTCCTAGTGTGAACAGCATCGCTCACTCGGAAACAGGCAAATTCAGCTGACAAGTTGCAAGTGAGACGAACTTCGCCTCTTGGATTCCACTGCTAGCCACTATGCATCATCAATATAAAAAAGGAATGGTTGACCATGACTTCCCGTCAAGGTAAACGCGACTTCAGCTTTCTTCATCAGTAATCGTCGTATAGTAAAAATCTGCACGTAGTTCTCGGCTGATATAAGGGTTCTTGGGAGAAGTAGTACCGAAAAATGCAATCTATTTAGTTTCGGCATAGTTTGTCACTTTCTACAACAAGATACAGAGTGTGATGACACGCCACACAGCCAAAATCCTCCTAAGTTACATATATTCTGCATAATCTCAAGGTGACTGTTTCAGTTATTGTCAGAGGTTTGAAAGTTCTGTACCTCTTTATACTCGACTGGGCAAGACAAGCAAGTCTGTTGATGAAGTTAAGAACATTCATCAGCTAGGATGGCTTGAACATTTGTTGCACATACAGAGTTACTGCCTACCTGGATGCTAGGGAAGTTGGATTCGGTTGGAAGAGGGTTCAGGGTGGCCAGACCAAGTCAATAAAGTCGCTGACTGTTAGTCTGAGCTGTGTGGGCAGAGATGTAGACTGCTTGGGTGAGATCCCGGAGACGAAAGTAATCAGTAGGTGAGGACTCTTGGATTCTGCTTCAACTCCTAGTAATCATTTCCTGATCCAAGTTATAATTTATAGACTAATTGCATTCCATACTTATTATAAAAAGGAGACTGCGCAGTGTAAAGAAAATTTTCCTCATCCATTGTAACCTTTCCTACCTATGATTTATAGCCTGAAGATTGGCCCAACCAACCCTGTCATAAAGGTTTCATATTTACACCGGCTGAGAATCATCTCGGTTTTTCAATCCGATTGCGCATTCGTGCACGTGATATGAATGGTATGGATGGAGTCCCATTTGGAACGAGCAAATTTTACGATCCATATGGACAACCAATTCAATGCAAGTCGCCTGTACTTAAAGCTCCTATTCAAGAGTTTCATCAACAAAGGTAAGACGGTTCTAAAAGCCACCTTCAACACCACCAACCTTATTATTAATTCGTATCATGAATATATGACTGAAATCTCTGGATTGGGTAGTAACTTTTCATATGTTGATAAAGTTGTGTGTATTAGGTTAAAGTTGTACATACTTCTAGTCTCAGAGAAATGTTTTCATACGTGTAGTTGATACAGTGAATATTCCTCTAAATAATTCAACCACCTTCTACAAGTATTGTAACCTATGTGTGTATTGACAATGATGAACTTTCATGTATCCTGAGAATCTGTAGTATATAGTAAAATTTATTTCATACGAAACAGTTTACAGATGGTAGTACTAAAAGCTGAAGAAAATCAGTATTTAACCTGACGTAGGAATTAGTTCGGTAGTAGATCACTGAAGTGAATAATTAACTTTGATGATTAGATAAGTTTTCGCTGATGCCATCTTCTTCAAAGATAAATGAGGCAGATCAAGGTGTGACAATGAGCCATGAAGACTGTTTGACACTCAGAGGGGTTTTGGATTTGTAAATTGCTGAGACTAGGTATTGAAAGAGTAGGTCTCTTTGGTTGAATGGTTAGTCGTTTTTTCTTGTGAAGAGTTTTCAGTGAAACAAACATTAATTTCCCCCACCCCTACCCCTTAATTGTACTCTTAATGGCTTATTAATCTGCATCATTATGTGCAGACTTTGCTTCAGTCAGTCGCAAGTGGCTCAATTAATTCTCCCTTAACATTGTTTAATAGGTACAAACTGATTGAAAATGATCAATTGGATTCACAGCGTTTACGTGTTGTAAGCTACAATATTTTAGCTGAAATGTATGCTAGATCCGATTTGGCACGTACCGGATTATTTGCACATTGTCCGGAGGATTTCATTATCTCCGCCTACCGATTACCTTTGATTCTACGGGAATTATTTTCATATCAATCAGATATCATTTGTCTTCAAGAAGTAGATCGATGGGTTTACGACAAACACCTTCTTCATGCTTTCAAATACCACCAAAATATGGATGGTTTATTTCTAGCCAAAAGAGCAGTTCAACCTGATACTAATGATCCACATAAAGTGAGAACAGATATTAAAAAGGAAAAGGTAATTATAATCGTGTTTTTTAGTAACGCATATTTGAAACAATTAAATCAGTTACTTGATTCCGTTAATTCATTTTTTCAATGTAGTTCGTAAGCTAGCTATGCTTATAATCACAAGGTATTATCGTCTCTCTTTAGCGCATCCTGGATTCCTCTGCTAGCCACAACCAAGTAGATCACTATAATTAACATTCAGGCAATATCGAGACATCGTCATAGGAGCTCAGATACCATTAGAGATCGAACAATTCGATCCAGTAAAACAACGGAGAACTACGAGCATATCAACAAATAGTAATGTTATTATGTCACGAAAGTTAACTACCTTCCGGATTGAAAGGCAGAGTAGTTGTCAATGACATGAATAATACTGACTGAATCGGTTCAAAACCTACAAAAGTGCCTCTTCTTCTATAGTCTTCAAATGCCGGGTGTATAGCTGGATTCGAAACAAGCAAACCGAATTGTCAAACTGGATAAAAGGCTATGTGTGGTTGGTCTCAAGCAGATTTCGTCTGGCGATTACAGCCACTCACCACTTTTAATCAATCAATTTATCTTCCATGTACTCAAGGAAGAAACAACCTTCCACGATGTTGGCAGCCAGGTTGTGGCAACCTCCCTCATAAGTCTGTGAGCACTCATGTCCCTGCAAAACATCATGTCTTAAACATCCTTTTCTTATTTTTCTTCACTTCCCTCAGTCAACATTCTTACGTCATGTTTAAGCTCTTCCAGCTGTTCGACTCTCGATAACAACTAGTGTTCTAGGAGCAGGTAGCTTGGTCTTGTAATATCGCGCCGCAAACTATGTATTGTAGCTATCCCTAAAAGTCAGGTGTTCAGATGTGTTTGTCGTTTCGTGGCAGGCGATTTCAATGCACAAGTTGATAGACTAATTCAGACAGAAAATGATTACGAACCGCAGACGAATAAACAGATAACGGCAACCACTTACTACAACTGTGTGTAGATAACCACGTATTTCTGACTAACGAGAACTTCAGACAAGGAGAAAAATTCTCTAACACGGCGTCCAGCAAGCTCAGTTCCGTTGTGGACACAAACAGACCATGTGGCCGTCAGTTATCTCTGGAGAGGGTTGGCGAGAAGAAGATTGCCGCTCCTTGAAAGGCACGTGTTTGGACAATGACCACGCATTGTTTCCATGGCTGTGTGTCTGCGTCCAAGTGAACGTAGAAAAACTTTACACCAAGACTGTTACAAGTTCAGATCGAAAACGAGAGAACTGGGGTAGCTTCCGTTGGGAAACTGGCTGTACACTCATTGAAACAGAATAACGTCAACCATCGGGAACAAGCTTGGCGCCATCTGCAGTCTACTACACAAACAACGTTGAGAACTGTAGCCATCTTTCAGAAAGTAGTTAAGCTAAATATAACCCCTCTGACTGGTTTGAATCTCTGACTGACGTCTGAGTGCAGCTCGGGAACAGCAAGCGTGAAGAAACCAGACAGACAGGCTTTAGACATGATCGTGAATGTATTGAACAGATACTGACTCCACCATGTTGTGGAGTACAGACACACTTAGCGATATCTGACGCTAACCATACTTCTCTACTTGAAGGTGGCATTCGGCTCCGTCGGTCGAAATGTCTTATGACAGTGTCTATCACTGAAGGGAGTGAGGAGTAAGTAAGCCACTCTATTGAAAGCTCTGACTGGAATAGCCCTGAGTTATGTTCGAGACTATTGTGAGTTGTGTACGTTGAGCGGTGTCCATCAAGGATGTGCACTCTTTCCATTCCTACTCAACTTCATCATGGACGTGCTTATGGATGTCGTCGTCTGACTTGACAGTGATTGACTTTGTCACAGGAGAATTTTTATTAGATTTAGAGTACTCAGATGAGGTAGTCCTGTAAGGTGAAAACGCTGACAAGATGGGATCTTTTGGACACTGTCAATTTGAGAATGTTTGGGATGCGTGTGATTCTCAGCATGCGAATGTGAATTGTTGCTGCAGAAGTGATCTTCAGTGGTGTCTTGCTGAGTGATAGGGGATTGAAATGACTAAGTGGGTTGACCACTTCACCTAGGAATTGGGATCAACTGTGGTGAGTCAGTAACCGATGAAATCTGTGTAGAGATGCAAAAAAAGGCTCGATTGCCTATTGGCAACACACATGATCTGTGGCGCCGCTGCGATATCTGACTGTCTGTTAAAGGTCGAGTGAACTGTGTTTCAGTTTGTTCTGTTCTGCTGTATGTCTGTAGGGTAGGGTATAGTCATTAAAGGTAAGAAATATGAGAAGGCTTCATGTGTTTGACCACCATTGGCGTCTTGGCATGGGCCGTGTGTTGGTGTCACGAAGTGAGTAGGGTAGAAGTCAGGTGTAGAGTTTCCGAGGGGGAGAGTGAATTCAGTTGATGAGGTTGTGAACCTCCATCGGCTGAAGTGGCTGCCTGGTCGCGGACTGTTGGCTGAAGTAGGTTTTGGCTATAACATGGCATCAGTGCATGAAATATCTGACTGTTAGTCTGAATCATGTTGGGAAATGTAAACTTTCTAGTTGAGGTTAGTATGACAAGAGAAATGAGTAGTGTTGGAGAATCTATGTGGCATGCCTCTGAATCGATATCATTGGCACAGATTTATCCACATATTATTCTCATCTTAATTGTCATACTGCATCTGTATTTTCTCATTTATTGGTACGAGCACACATATATGTCTCTCCACTTCAATTAAGGGTGGTAAAGGCAGACTAATCATAGCGCAGCTCGACCATGTTAATACTCATCAGGTAACTTCCATCGGATAGGATAATGTGACTCATTCTGAAGAAGTGTAACGCCATCTGTGATCTACTTTAAAAACAGCGCTAAAGATGTTAAGTAATTGTCAGGGAGAGTTAGTTGATGTCAGTGGTTACTTCAGAAATGATGGATGTGTGTGGACGCATTACTGCAGACTGCAAACACAATGAGGAGGGGAGGTAGCTAAAATGCAAACTGACGAGATGCCCACCTAATGGCCGTATTGGATGCTTCTGAATCAGTCTTAGATTGACCAACGTGGAGTCACGAGGCATACATAACACATGCCCCAACCATCTCAGTTGATGAAAGTTCACAACCTCGTCAACTGACTTACCTCTTCTCCCCAAAACTCTACACCTGACTTCTGCATTACTCATGTGGTGACACCACGGAATACGGTCTATACTACGAAGGCAACGGTGGTCAAACACCTGAAGCCATCCTTCTCATGTCTTCCACCTTCAATGGCCATGTTTCACAGTCATAGAGTAGAACAGAGCGGACTGTTGTGCAGATGCAGTACACGTGACCCTTAATAGACAATCAGATATCGCGGCGGTCTACAGGTGGCGTGCGTTAGCAAAAGCCAGCCGAGCCTTTTTTATGCGTGCAGAGATTTCATCGGCCACTGATCCTCCAGGGCGGAGCTGATCCTACTTCCCAGGTAAGTGAAGTGGTCGACACATTCAACCACTACACTCTTTATTGTTATCCGAGGGACTGTTGAAGACCAATCCTGGAGCAACAATCTGCATTTGGGTGGTGAGAAACGCATCCCAAACATTCTCAAATTCCCACTCAAAGTGTTCAGAAGACTCTGCATCTTGTCAGCGTCTTCACCTAACAGGACTATGTCATCTGCATATTCTAGATCTAATGAAAATTTACCTGCAATTAGATCAACGTCTTTGTAATTAGGTGACGAGAGGGAAACCTCCATAAGAATATCTATGATAAAATTAAATAAGAATGGGGATAGTGGGCATCCTTGACGGACACCACTTGATGAGTATAGCTCCCTGGACAACTCGCCATAGGCTCTAACATGCCCACAAGTGTTCGAGTAGAGAGCTTTCAATAAGGTGATGTACTTACTAGGCACGCCTTTCAGTGACAGACATTGCCATAAGACTTCTCGATCAACGGAGTCAAATGCCGCCTTCAGGTCGAGAAATACAGCTATTGTCGGGCGTCTGTAAGCATGCCTATGTTCCAGGACCTGGCGCAGTGTGAATATTTGGTCGATACATCCACGGCCAGGTCTAAAGCCTGCCTGGTTTTCTCGGGCTTGCTGTTCCCGAGCTCCACTCAGGCGTCGGAGAATTATAGAACTTAGGATCTTAGACACTATGTTTGTCAGGCTGATTCCTCTGTGGTTATCACAAGAGGACTTCTCGCCTTTCTTGAAGACTGGGATGATGAGTGACTTAGACCAGTCGGAGGGGATCGTATTTGATTCCCATATACTGGCTAACACTTCCGTTAGCCTGACTAAGAGAACTCTACCACCATTCTTGTATACCTCAGCAGGTAGTCCGTCTGGTCCTGCTGCCCTTCCTCGTTTCAGGCTACCTACCGCTTTCTCAGCTTCTTCTAGTGTTGGGGGGCCTGTCTCTATGTCCCATTCAGGGTCCGACTGGATAGCGGGCAGCGCAATGGTGGCTGGAGGCCAGTTAAACTGTTCCTCGAAGTGTTCTGCCCATCGTTCCAGTCGTCTCCCCTGCGAGTGAATCGCAGATCCGTCCTTCTCCGCTATAGCCTCACTAACTGTTGTTGACCATTTCCCCCCAGTCTCCTTAATAAGTCTAAATAACTGTCTACTGTTACCGATCGCCGCTGCCTTTTCCATCTCTTTAGCCTTCGCTGCCCACCACTGTTCACGATCGTTGCGCAGACTTTTCGTCAGTCTATTTTTAAGTTGCGCTCGCTCTTCATTGTACTCAGAGCCTGCAGGGATGCATTCACGTGCATCCATTAGTTTGGAAGAAGCTGCTGATATCCACTGGCTCTTTCAAACCATTATTTCGGAGTCGGTTACAGTCTTCAGCGCTGCTCTTACAGCAGCAGGTGATGGTGTTCTGTTCCGACAACTGCCTAGCCAACTTCTCAGTGAACACGGCTTTGGTGTTTTCGTTGTTGAGCTGCACTCTTAGTGGTTTTGTTGCCAAATTTTTCTTACGTTTATTGAGACGCAGACATATGCGTGCTCGGACCAACGCGTGGTTGCTATCCAAACACGTACTCCAGAATGAGCGGCAGTCTTCCACCGATCTGAACTACAGTCAGTGGGTACGTAAGTAGAGATTACTTAGAGGCAACGGCGAGTTTCACTATTCCTTTTAGTTCTCACTGTGCTATTCAGTCTCATAGCGCAGAGGCGACTATCAACTGGGATCCAGTCTAGTAGTGAGTTTTCTGCCCTAGTGCTTAATGCTATACCTACACCTGCAAGACCACGAGAGCTAGCTATCGAATCCCCAGAAACTCGAAGGGTGAATTTTGTGGATTCACCAGATTGGTCAGGAGAGGTCAGGTGAATAACCACACTTGGGTCCTGTATGCGTGTCTCACAAACACAGCACACATCCATGGCCCGAGTTGCTAGAGTCTTTGCTAACGAAGCCTGTTGACCAATTTGACGGAGGGTGCGGACATTGAAGGCTCCAATATGTAATTTGGAGCGTGGTTTAAGGAGACCAGTGATGCTGTTCTGTGGACTCAGATCGTTGTCGAAGGCTGCAGAGGTAGGAGAAATTGAAGATGATGCAGCATCATTAATTAAGAGACGTGAAGGAAGATTAGAAGGTAATGATGGAGGAGGTGGATAGCAGTCAGAAGAAACTTGGGTGCTGACAGAGTTGTGAGGGCGGTTGACACTTCCCGGCTGCCCACACCGTGGAAGGCTATTTCTTCTTAAGGTACCTGAAAGAGATTTGTGTGACCGCAGAGCCCATCGGACATCTGCTTGAGGCCTGTCACACCCAGCCTTTTGTATGATTATTTTGAACTTTTGTATTTTTGGGGCCGGATGGTGAAAAGGAAACGACAAGTGAACCAACACCGCCGGCCCGGCAGACCGTGGGGTATGGTGGAGTGTGTTATTTTTGGGGCCGACCTTTTCTAACCCCCCTTCCACTGAGAAGGCAGCATCAGCATTGCACTGCTGGTCATCCAAGGGAAACACCTTACTGCTGTCACACCCCATCCAGCTAGCAGCAGTACGACTTCGCCCTCAGACCCCCATCATAGTGTAGCAATTTACACCATAACGGTAACTGCTTTTCGTCTAACCACTATCCAACAGACCTTTCTGGTATGGTGGAACTTCGAGGGAATAAGTGTTCCACCAGCATAGCTTGTTGTGTCATTGTGATATGCAAGCCCGACCACCACGTGAAGGTAGTAGCTATCGACTGGGGAAGAAAACTATGATGGAGAAGTCATCGAAAAGATTAGTTCTGCAACTATACATGAGCAAGCTGTTTCGTTTAATATCATATGTTTTAGTTTCATTTACTTGTGGAATGAAATAGGCTGTCATTTTTGAATACATGATTGCTATTAGACGTTGATTGATTCACACATCTGTGGGTGTTTGTAATTGAGTGGGAATTGATGGTGTATCTGACACTCTCTTAAATACATCCTTCCTAACTTAATAGTCCGCCTAGTACTAAGGAGAAGTAATAATATCATGACACATCAAGGATCAGTTATGACCATTATTTGTAACTACATTAAATAATAATAATAATAATGATAATAATAATAATAATAATAATAATAATAATAATAATAATACTCTACAGAGTTTTCAGCATGTCATATAGCATCAGTTGGATAGAGATAGTGTATTGCATACAAAGCAAAATGAAAATATGTAGAAATTATATGGAGAAAATATGAAAATATTCGCTCTTTCTACAACTTTCTTCAAAATACATAGTCAGTTTAGATAGACAAGTGCGCTGGTAATTAGATTCATAATACGTAAAAAGTAACACGCTCATCTTCAGTTAGTTTACTCTCAAAAAAAGAAGTTGATTAGTTGTTTCATTCCTAATACCTTCCTCATCACACAGCTGTCGAGCTAAATATGGTATCGTAAAGTTTTTATATCTTATAGTACGTGCATATGTAATTGCTCCTCGTCTTTCCAGATGACCGATATGCAGAGAGCTTTGAGTGAAGAGGATGTTGGTCATCTGATAATATAACTCCTGCCAGATGTTTAAATGAGTTAATAGTTTGTCCACAACAGTTCCACAGTCGAAAAGTTTAGAGGTACACCACTAGTTCTGCTGACAATTTTCAAAGTTCTACGCAATATAGAAGTCTTTTTTTCAGCAACCCGCGAAATAATAAAAAGAAACAGTAAAGGTGAACACTCAAGATGCAGGAGTTTATCAAACACAAATGGAGAGGCTAAGTTATACTAAATACTCTCAGCCTACCGATATAGAAAGTTAGGCGGAAAATTCTTTTGGAAATTAGTGAGATATCAGAGAACCAGGAAAGTCCCGAAGAAAAATTCACATGAAGACCAATTACACTTGTACCATTCCCTAATGCCCAACTATCAATAGACCAGGAATTATGAGAACTAAACAGTTTACACAAGTCATGTTCGTATCTGAGACTTAAGTTTATGGTGTGACATTTTGAAGAATTAAGCACAAGACCATTGACGGAAGACGACCATCCATCCTCTAACAGTAGATAGGAAATGATTCAGTTGGGAACAATCTGCTGAAGAGGAGACAGATATGGAAACTGTTAGGTCATCAGCACATTTAATGAAATTGATACCGGCTGAAGATGGTAGGTCATGCAGAAAGGAAGAGATAAGACCAGGGGATGGACGACTCCTTGGGGAACACCAGTCACTGTAAGCAATGAGGTGGAGCACTCCCCCCTGAGAACAGTATATTGTTTCCTTTCAGAGAGATAGGAATGCAACCTGCTGATTATTCAGGACTGAGTGTGTGTCGCGGTTAGCTTGTCCAGGAAAATGTGTCTTGGGATAAAGTCAAGTGCTGAAGTGTTGTGTAAAAAGGCACACGTGAAATACTTTGGATTTGTATGCAGATTACAAGTAGTAGTATTGTGGTATGAGACAGTGGTGGGATTCCGAGTGCTTCTTCTGCTATTATATGCGAATTGATTAGTGTTTCTGAAAGCCTTCAATGAGGTCTCGAGCACAGGTATCATTAGTTTCTCTATTATTTTCAAGAATGGAGAAGTGACTGCAATCGGACGGAATTTGTGACATGAGCCAGGAGTAGGAGTCCATGACTCAGGTAATGGGACTATCTTATTATGTTTCCAGGGAGCTTGTATGGTGTTTTCTGCAAACGATCTATTAAACATGTTAGCCAATGGATGGCATGAAATATAAGCACACTTCGTGAATATGAAGCTTGATATACCATCCTGACCTGAACTGTAGGAATGGTTTCCATAAGTAATCGGTATGCCTTATCCTAGTTTGTAAAACCGTAAGCAAATCCTACGCTTGTGAATGTAGTTGGGAGACATCTCTGCGTATTGTATGTTTTAAAGCTAGTGTTTCTGAAGACTAGTATATTAGTTGTTTACAGCCACCCTTTCATCAAGTTATGTGTGTAGTATGTTGGTTGGACTATTAATACCTACCGAAAACCTAACTTTTCGTTGACCTGTTTATTTAGTAGTCATGTGAACAAATACTCAATGTTATAAATAGTGTATTCAGTAGATATATTTCCTGTTGACCGTTTGTCTGAAGCCGTCAGTTGTTACAGTCCATGATCAATCAAGCACACAATATCGCTCAGCGTACTTGGTGGTGTATTCCTAAAGTGATTACATTAAGAGACTGAAAAGGTCCGCTAATACATCAACAAGCGGTGGTTTTAACTCAACAAGTCGATACACTGATTGATTACTGGTCGTGAGTGCTGATCGAATTCTGTTGGTCACTTCTCAATATGGCTAGGAGGTTCACCATCTGGTGCACTTTGATGGATGGATGTTAGTTGGCTCGAGGCAACCGGCAGGAAGCTCTGCTTTGACCTTGTTGATACTTGTCAGTAAATAGCTTTTTTTTATATACCGCTTTTAATAAACTGTCTGATTACCAGGTATATATATGTTTTCTAACTTCATTAATTCTATTCACAGGATGAAGGCTGTGCAATTTTCTATTCTTCTTCCCGTTTTGAACTTGTTTCACAATATGACCTACCGTCAATACTTCATTATGCATCAACTGTTCCATTCTTATCAATTATGCTAGATAATTTGAATTCTGAAAAGTTGAATTCAGCTGGTTCAGATCATTCATTTGGTGAAGAAGATGTTGGAACACATATCCAAAAATCGTTATCACAATGCCTACTCGCAGGAGTCTTCCGAGTGAAGTCAACCAATTCACAACCGACATTTTTTATTGTTTCTAATACTCACTTCTACTTTCATCCTTCTGCTAGTGCAATTCGAGTGATTCAAGCGCACACAGTACGTCATCATCTATTGAAAATCGCTATGCAATACAATCAACCAGATAGGCAAGTATTCTTTACAAGTATATATATTGATGTATATTTGTTCCGGACTTGATGAATGTGGATTGATGATAAGATGTCACTAAGCTGTTTCACCACATATCATTCAAATTTATACGGACAAACTGTTGGTCATGCTCATCTTGGCAGAAACAGGTGACAGAATTAGGCACGAATAAATTATCGTGTCGTTATTCTAACGTTAATCTGAAGCTTTTAACGTTCTGCACTTATTTCTTAATTTGGATGTTAGTGCTTTCCATTCCCCGTCATTAATTAGACCGAATTGATCAGTCTCTACTAGGTAGGTATATCAAGATGACAAGTCCCGAAATAGGGCGAAACGCACGTCCTGGATTCTATTGTTAGCCACCACCCATCATTGTTATCAAACTGAAATTACAGACAATATCAAGGCGTCGACATAGAGTCTGTCTACCAATTGAGACTGATCTGTTCGGTCCAATCAACGACGGGAAGTTACAAGTACTAACATAAAACTATACCTGTCATACAAAGGGTGGCTATCGTGACTCAGTAGATAACAGTCGGGCGTTTGAAGTTATCGGCCCAGGGTTCGAGTCTGAGTAGAGACAACATCACTCACTAGGAGTCAGGTACATCTATCTGTCGAGTCCCAAACAGGACGAAACACGGTCCTTGATTCTGCTGCTACCCACTATCCGTCATTACTTAACTAGGTTCCTTCTTAGAAATAGACTATCAGAGCCGTCTTGTTATATAATCTATCTCCCTTACTATCACAACCGTGAATGGCTTATACTCAAGTGACCTCATTTAGTTGGTAGAAATATGCAGAAGTACATTCGATCAAGTTATTTTATGAGGTCCGTACATTTCTTTTGATCGCCAGAAACTCATTTCTACCCTGTAGGTAAACCTCTAGCAGTAACGTAACAATAAGACGTGAATATTTCACTCCTCCAGAATGATGTTCAGCAGTATTAGTACTAAAGTAGACTGTATCCAATCAATTTAAATCTCGCTTATTTACCGTGACATACTTGACTCCAATGTGTGAATATTCATACATCATTTCAAGATTCTTAGTTAGCGCACAACTGATGTTGATCCAATTATTTCAATTTTAAGTTTTTGGGGGATTCGCTTGTGACTTCAAGTTGGTATTCATCATAGATAAACATCAATCGGAGAAACACTGGACATCTGTTTCCTCCTCAGCAGTGCGCGCCCTTGCCCTCACCAAAAGCTGACCAGAAAAGCCTACTAAGTGGCTCAGTGGTAACAGGGTGACCGCGAAACCTGAAGGTCCTGAGTTCGACCCCTAGTGGGTGGAGTCATGGTTGCGTACTGCTGAGGTGTCCCATTCTAGGACGAAACAGCTGTCCAGTGCTCACAGGTTTAAAATGTTTCTGCAACTGATACCAGTTCATTGTGAATACCAATGCAAAAATTATTGCTGAACACATATTACCTCAATAAGGAAGATGACACTTAAATCTTTGAAAGTTACTGGCTTTTATCAGTCATCCAGTTACATCATTGCCTTTATTTTCATCATTGCGACATGTAGTGTTGCCTAACTTATTTCATTTCATTTCATTATCAACATAGGACCAGGCATTACTGCGTAATGGTCCGAGTTGCCACACCTCACGTCAGTTCATCAAGTGGAAAGGTAGTGAGGTGAAGGATGAAGATAAGTGAATGCAGTCAAAAGAAATATAAAGTACGAGAAGAAAAGAAAGAGGAGTGACAAAATGGTGAGATTCGGTATAGCGTTGTTAAGATGAGGATAATGTGTGTATACATCTGCGCCACTGACATCTGTTCTGAGCCGTATCACCTACAGTCTCCAACCACTGGTTCCTCTTGTCCCGCCGACCCCAACCACCTAGTCTGAATCGTCCTACATGGCTCAAACCAACAGTCAGATACTTCATACATTGGTGTCATGTTTTAGTCTGGCCACCTCGAGCCTTTTCCAGCCTCAACCTACCTCGGCCAACATTGTGTGACGAGGCAATCAGCGGCTAGGCATACGTAACACATCCCAACCATCTCAGTTGATGAAGGTTCACAACCTCGTCAACTGACTTACCTCTTCTCCCCAAAACTCTACACCTGACTTCTGCATTACTCATGTGGTGACACCACGGAATACGGTCTATACTACGAAGGCAACGGTGGTCAAACACCTGAAGCCATCCTTCTCATGTCTTCCACCTTCAATGGCCATGTTTCACAGTCATAGAGTAGAACAGAGCGGACTGTTGTGCAGATGCAGTACACGTGACCCTTAATAGACAATCAGATATCGCGGCGGTCTACAGGTGGCGTGCGTTAGCAAAAGCCAGCCGAGCCTTTTTTATGCGTGCAGAGATTTCATCGGCCACTGATCCTCCAGGGCGGAGCTGATCCTACTTCCCAGGTAAGTGAAGTGGTCGACACATTCAACCACTACACTCTCTATTGTTATCCGAGGGACTGTTGAAGACCAATCCTGGAGCAACAATCTGCATTTGGGTGGTGAGAAACGCATCCCAAACATTCTTGAATTGCCAATCGAAGTGTTCAGAAGACTCTGCATCTTGTCAGCGTCTTCACCTAACGGGACTATGTCATCTGCATATTCTAGGTGTAATGAAAATCTTCCTGCAATTAGATCAACCTCTTTGTGATCAGGTGACGAGATGGAGACCTCCATGAGAATATCTATGATAAAATTAAATAAGAATGGAGAGAGTGGGCATCCTTGACGGACATCACTTGATGAGTATAGCTCCCTGGACAACTCGCCATAGGCTCTAACATGCCCACAAGTGTTCGAGTAGAGAGCTTTCAATAAGGTGATGTACTTACTAGGCACGCCTTTCAGTGACAGACATTGCCATAAGACTTCTCGATCAACGGAGTCAAATGCCGCCTTCAGGTCGAGAAATACAGCTATTGTCGGGCGTCTGTAAGCATGCCTATGTTCCAGGACCTGGCGCAGTGTGAATATTTGGTCGATACACCCACGGCCAGGTCTAAAGCCTGCCTGGTTTTCTCGGGCTTGCTGTTCCCGAGCTCCACTCAGGCGTCGGAGAATTATAGAACTTAGGATCTTAGACACTATGTTTGTCAGGCTGATTCCTCTGTGGTTATCACAAGAGGACTTCTCGCCTTTCTTGAAGACTGGGATGATGAGTGACTTAGACCAGTCGGAGGGGATCGTATTTGATTCCCATATACTGGCTAACACTTCCGTTAACCTGACTAAGAGCACTCTACCACCATTCTTGTATACCTCAGCAGGTAGTCCGTCTGGTCCTGCCGCCCTTCCTCGTTTCAGGCTACCTACCGCTTTCTCAACTTCCTCTAGTGTTGGTGGGCCTGTCTCTATGTTTCATTTGGGGTCCGACTGGATAGCGGGCAACGCAATGGTGGCTGGAGGCCAGTTAAACTGTTCCTCGAAGTGTTCTGCCCATCGTTCCAGTCGTCTCCCCTGCGAGTGAATCGCAGATCCGTCCTTCTCCGCTATAGCCTCACTAACTGTTGTTGACCTTTTCCCCCCAGTCTCCTTAATAAGTCTAAATAACTGTCTACTGTTACCGATCGCCGCTGCCTTTTCCATCTCTTTAGCCTTCGCTGCCCACCACTGTTCACGATCGTTGCGCAGACTTTTCATCAGTCTATTTTTAAGTTGCGCTCGCTCTTCATTGTACTCAGAGCCTGCAGGGATGCATTCACGTGCATCCATTAGTTCGGAAGAAGCTGCTGATATCCACTGGCTCTTTCAAACCATTATTTCGGAGTCGGTTACAGTCTTCAGCGCTGCTCTTACAGCAGCAGGTGATGGTGTTCTGTTCCGACAACTGCCTAGCCAACTTCTCAGTGAACACGGCTTTGGTGTTTTCGTTGTTGAGCTGCACTCTTAGTGGTTTTGTTGCCAAATTTTTCTTACGTTTATTGAGACGCAGACATATGCGTGCTCGGATCAACGCGTGGTTGCTATCCAAACACGTACTCCAGAATGAGCGGCAGTCTTCCACCGATCTGAACTACAGTCAGTGGGTACGTAAGTAGAGATTACTTAGAGGCAACGGCGAGTTTCACTATTCCTTTTAGTTCTCACTGTGCTATTCAGTCGGATAGCGCAGAGGCGACTATCAACTGGGATCCAGTCTAGTAGTGAGTTTTCTGCCCTGGTGCTTAATGCTATACCTACACCTGCAAGACCACGAGAGCTAGCTATCGAATCTCCAGAAACTCGAAGGGTGAATTTTGTGGATTCACCAGATTGGTCAGGAGAGGTCAGGTGAATAACCACACTTGGGTCCTGTATGCGTGTCTCACAAACACAGCACACATCCATGGCCCGAGTTGCTAGAGTCTTTGCTAACGAAGCCTGTTGGCCAATTTGACGGAGGGTGCGGACATTGAAGGCTCCAATATGTAATTTGGAGCGTGGTTTAAGGAGACCAGTGATGCTGTTCTGTGGACTCAGATCGTTGTCGAAGGCTGCAGAGGTAGGAGAAATTGAAGATGATGTAGCATCGTTAATTAAGAGACGTGAAGGAAGATTAGAAGGTAATGATGGGGGAGGTGGATAGCAGTCAGAGGAGACTTGAGTGCTGACAGAGTTGTGAGGGCGGTTGACACTTCCTGGCTGCCCATACCGTGGAAGGCTATTTTTTCTTAAGGTACCTGAAAGAGATTTGTGTGACCGCAGAGCCCATTGGACATCTGCTTGAGGCCTGTCACACACAGCCTTTTGTATGATTTTGAACTTTTGTATTTTTGGGGCCGGATGGTGAAAAAGAAACGACAAGTGAACCAACACCGCCGGCCCGGCAGACCGTGGGATATGGTGGAGTGTGTTATTTTTGGGGCCGACCTTTTCTAACCCCCCCTTCCACTGAGAAGGCAGCATCAGCATTGCACTGCTGGTCATCCAAGGGAAACACCTTACTGCTGTCACACCCCATCCAGCTAGCAGCAGTACGACTTCGCCCTCAGACCCCCATCATAGTGTAGCAATTTACACTATAACGGTAACTGCTTTTCGTCTAACCACTATCCAACAGACCTTTCTGGTATGGTGGAACTTCGAGGGAATAAGTGTTCCACCAGCATAGCTTGTTGTGTCATTGTGATATGCAAGCCCGACCACCACGTGAAGGTAGTAGCTATCGGCCGGGGCCTAACTTAGGTAGAGTGACATGGGTTTTGGATGCGTGCATTTGCAGTTACCTGTCCATATCAGTGTTAAACAAGACATAGTGAACACTGTCGTGAACTGCAGCTCGTGGACTTAGCGGGATTTCAATCACAGGATCAAAGGTTTAAATCTTCCTTGACTGACCCATTGAAATCTTCACAACCAGCTTAGTATCATTACCTCATACGTAATATGTATGAATCATTGCCAAGTATATTAATCTTTCGTTGATCCCTGGGTTCTGTTTCTTTTTCGATTGAACTCTGTTCACTACCATTCCGTAGTGTAAATATTAACTTGAGAGACCACTCTGAACCCTCAACGGTCACTTCTGATTGCTAGGAGGCCTAGTCGGATTGAATGTAAAAGAATCGTTATATATATGTGAAAATTTTCAGCTGTCAAAAGAAAGTTAACTAGTGTTTATCATTTTACCGATTTTTAATGTTGCAATGTTTACATTTATTTCAGCAATCCAATACCAATCATTTTCTGTGGAGATATCAATCAGTCGCCAGGTTCAGGTCCTTATACTGCGCTTACTCAAGGTGATAACTGCTTATCTCAAGAAAAGACTACCTATCAGCCTACATTTGAGTCAGTCTATGCAAATAATCCGCCTGAATTTACGAATTGGGTGCCTGGATTTTACAGTGTTTTAGATGTAATACTATATAATACTGATTCAGATTTGAGATGTATCCGATTCCTACCAATCGATTCATTGCATCAGATGAAACAACGTTTAATACAACAAGTGAGCGCGGATGGTCATCACATTCCAGATGATAGTAAACTAGGTCTTCCGAACGCCTATTTTCCAAGTGATCATGTCGCTCTTGTAGCTGATTTCTCTTGGGATTCATTGAAATAATGTTAATTAATAATTGACTAAGAGGAGTATGCATGCCTGGAAAACAAATTTGTCTCTAAAAAAAGATTTGTAATGATAATTTATTAGATAATCTATAGAAAATTTCGAACAGAATGTGAGGGGGGAGAGTAAAAGTTTGATGTAAAGTATTTCCTTTTAATTGAGATGACAATAATGATGTTGTGTGACATTTTCGATTTTATTTTAAACATTACTTCTCAGTATGCTATCAGTTCTTTCTTGTCGTTCTACATCATATGCGGATTCTATTGGGCGTTCCACAGATACCACCTCGAATCTTCCCGTTGAACTTGAACCTATAATGAAAGAAGAATGTAAATAATTAAAGTTCCATACATCATTTGCTTTGCCTATTTGATTAAAAATTTGGATGAAAAAAACATGTATTGCAATTTAGCTAAAAAGATTGAGCATCTTTGATTAAGACAGTTCTATTGGTTATTACAAACAATCAATCTGTTCTTAATATTCGCATTATCAACTATCGTCTAAAGGCAAGTGTCTGAAATACCCTCCATAACTCAATCATCTACTAGATTTTGACAACAAAACTATGCGTTTGTAACAGTTGCGATTTTATTTCATGTCACTATATGCTCAATGAGGATTCTAGAGAGAAGTTTCACAATGACTTTTTAGACTGATTTGGCAGACAGTTACGAAACATTATTTTTCTTCCGTAATCATGTTCGTTGACGGAATAGAAATATTTAGCAATATACGTGGAGATTTTTACTGCCCAAGTTCTGTACATTCACTTGCTATCAACGATAAATGCTGGACATTATGTATACGAATCCGATTCACACGTACTTGACTACTGTATAAACCAAGTAATCACTTTAATGACGTGCATATCACAAAAACGTTTTCATCACAATTGGTTTCGTCGACGAGTAATTCATATTCATTCGGCTAATTCAATGTTCAACATTCACCCATCAAGGTTACCGAGCTACTTGACACGCCATATTACCTGTTTTTGATATTAGGTATTAGGAGGGAAGAAAGCTTTGAATCTAAGTTCACTGTTGTTTGCGCTCATCAAGAAGGTACATCTGACTGGTGCAAATTTGAAATACCTAAAGTGGCAACTTAGTTTCCTCCATCAAGTTTCACTATGCTGATGTGTGAGAGTAAATGAGAAATCTAAGTACATGCGGTTTGCTATCAACTGATTCCTAATAACAACAATGTTGTACTAAAAGGTAAATATTTTCGCATGATCGCAAACAATATTGCATACGATTCAGATGTCATTCACGCACATGATCATTTGTGATATGAAACCTATGAGTCTCTCCCCTAAGCATTGAGCTACAACAATTGCCTGGCAGTGCATGATGCTACAAGCATCTTCAATGAAACAAAAATCACCATACGACCAGATATTACTCCTTACTCGTTCAAGTTTCTACACCTTATACAGCACATCAAGTAAAACGACAATTAAATGGAACATGAGGGAAGTAAAAACAAGAATCGGTCAAAAGAAGTAGAAAGTAGTAAAAGAGAAGAAGGAGGGATGAGAAAATTATATGATTAGGTGTAGCGGTTAAGATGAGTACAGTGTATGCGCATACATCTGCGTCACTGACATCGTTTATCAGCCGTATCACCTACAGTCTCCAACCACTCGTTTCTCTTGTCCCATGGATCCCAACTGACTAGTCTGCGTCATCATAAAAGGCTCAAACTAACAGTCAAGGACTTCATGCATTAATGCCATGTTTTAGTCTGGTCGCCCCGAAAGTCTTTCCAGCCTCAACCTACTTCGACCAACATTGCACGACGAGGCAGATGGTGGTTAGACATACGTAACGCATGTCCCAGTCATCTCAGTCGATGTATGTATGTTCACAACCTCATCAACTGACTCACCTCTCCTCCTCAAAACTCTACACCTGACTTCTGCGTTACTCACATGATGATACCACGAGACACAACCTGTGCTACGAAACTAACAGTGGTCAAACACCTGAAGCTTTCTCATGTCTTCTACCTTTTATGGCGATGTTTCACAGCCATAAAATAGAACACAGCGGACTGCAGCACAGTTCGCTCGACCCTTAATAGACAATTGGATATCGTCGCGGCGCCGCAGATGGTGATGTGCGTTGACAAAAGACAACTGAGTCCTTTGTATCCGTGCAAAGAGTTCGTTGGCCACTGATCCACCAGGGCTGATCTGACTTTTCACGTAAGTGAAGTGTTCAACGCGCTCAATCACTTCACTCTATTGTCAGCTGATGCATCGTTGAAGAGGAATCCCAGAGCAACAATTTGCATTTGGGTGGTGAGAAACGCATCCAAAACATTCTCAAATCTCCACTCAGGGTGTTCGGAAGACTACATTTTGTCAGGACAAAAGAACCTACTTAGCTATTCGTCAGACAATAATTCAAAATTGCTGATAAGGCTTATGGGAAAAGTTGCGCAATAGCGATACAGACAATAGTTCTATAAAGAAAGTCGCACAAAAGACAGCAGTGGAATGATGTTTGCAAGTCAATGAACGTAGCTCCTACGCGTAAGGTGAAATAATCGACTACACTGTAAAACCTCAGGGTAGCATTAGCTCTCATGAAACTGCATCGTAGAAAATAAATTTCAATTAGAATACACTACGAGGATCTCTATTAGTCAGGCAGTCAGAATCAGACCTGGCGTTGTTGAGGAACTGTCCCAGATTCCACACCGAATGTCACCACATCAAGTGAAAATGCAACAAAATAAAAGACAAAGGAAACAAAAAGTGGTGGAAGGTCGTGAAAAGACAACATAGAAGAATGAGGTAATAATGAAATCCAGTGTAATAACTAAGATGAAGTTAATGTGTACGTGTATCTGCTTCACTAGGATCGATTCTAGTGAAACAGGTCGATCCTCCCAACCAATAGCTGGTACTTTGACGAGGTGGTCGGGCTAACATATCAAAATGACTCAATGAGCTATGTTGATGGAACGCTTATTCCCCCGAGGTCCTATCACGCCAGAAACGTGTTATGGATAACGGTGAGACGGAAAGCAGTTACCGTTGTAGTGTGTTACTACGTTATGAACATACATACATCGACTGAGATGACTGGGACATGCGTTACGTATGTCTAACCACCATCTGCCTCGTCGTGCAATGTTGGTCGAAGTAGGTTGAGGCTGGAAAGACTTTCGGGGCGACCAGACTAAAACATGGCATTAATGCATGAAGTCCTTGACTGTTAGTTTGAGCCTTTTATGATGACGCAGACTAGTCAGTTGGGATCCATGGGACAAGAGAAACGAGTGGTTGGAGACTGTAGGTGATACGGCTGATAAACGATGTCAGTGACGCAGATGTATGCGCATACACTGTACTCATCTTAACCGCTACACCTAATCATATAATTTTCTCATCCCTCCTTCTTCTCTTTTACTACTTTCTACTTCTTTTGACCGATTCTTGTTTTTACTTCCCTCATGTTCCATTTAATTGTCGTTTTACTTGATGTGCTGTATAAGGTGTGGGTACTTGAATCTTTACGAAGTGATGCCTCGTCCTACTTTGATTTTGATTACGAGAAGCATGAGTATCGATTCCGTTCCTGGTCTTTATCTACCAGTTTCGGTTGACACGCAGAACGCAGTTGCGTTTTTCATATTCTTCTAATCAGTTGAGACCAAGTGTCAAAGTCTTTAGGAACTGATACGATGCTTTTATCTGTCCACCTCTGTCCTAACGCAGCCTGAATATACTTCAGCTAGCTTTGTGGAACTAGGCGAACGTTGATTGAGTCGACATAACGCAATGCGTCTGAATTGATAGACAGGAGCTTCATTTGAGGCACGTATTCATCCTGAACCTCATTCAACAAGGTACTACGAAGGAAGTTGAAGATCAGTGGTGTCGAATGACGATATTATGTCAAGAAATATACATAGAGTCATGTCAGTCAGTTCGTTTGTGTTTCAGGACATGAACGGAAGTCAATATCTAGTGGATACAGCCTCGGACCAGTCTTCTCTGCTCTTGCCGATGTTTGATGACACCTAATGAATAAAAAGCATTAAATCTTAGACACTATGTTGATTGAACTGACTCCCTTATGGTTATCATTGGAGGACTTCTTTCCCATTTGACGATTGCCACAATCAGCGACTGGGACCAGTTAGATGGTTTCATATCCGATGCCCGTATGCTAGCTAACACGTCTACTTAACCTGACCAATAATCCACTGGCACCATCCTCTGCTACCAGTCCATTTAGCCTGCTGCTCTCCACCACTCTAAGCTACTTACAGCCTCCCAAACTCCTAAAAGAATTGGGTGACCTGTTTCGTGTTCCTTTCAGGATCCAACTGAGTAACAAGCAATCAACGAGTCATTTGAACCAGTTAAACTGTTCATCTGTGAGTTGTCAAAGCATCATTCTCCGCTATGCTTTCAGTGTCCATTTTACTCAAGCTGCCTTGATCGACCTAAAAAAGCTGTCTACTGTTAGCTATTGTCACTGTCTTTTGGCTCTCCTTGACTTTCACCTTCCACAACTTCTCACGATCATTAGGTGGTTATCTCGTAAGTTTACATTTTAGCTACCTCCCCTCCTCATTGTGTTCGCAGTCTGCAGTAATGCGTTCACACACATCCATCATTTCTGAAGTAACTATTGAAATCAACTAGCTCTCCCTGACAGTCACTTACCATCTTTAACGCTGTTTTTACAGTAGATTAGAGATGGCGTTACACTTCTTCGAAATGAGTCACATTATCCTATCCAATGGAAGTAACCAGATGAGTATTAACATGGTCGAGCTGTGCTATGATTAGTCTACTTTTTTTCCCCTTAATTTAAGTGAAGGGTGATACATGCGTGCTCGTACTAATGAATAGTCTTTGTCCAAACACGTGCTCTACAAGGAGCAACAATCTTCCTTCCACCGACCGTCTCCAGTGATACCTGAAAGCCGCATGGTCTATCTGTGTCCACCACTCAGTTGACGTCAGTGGGAGTCACCTCAGACTTTGTCTCCCTTCGAGTCAGTAGTTGGTATTTGTCTGAGAACAGATGTAGCAGACGATTGCTGCTATCTTTCCCTTCCCCTGCAGTTTCGAAAGTAATACCTAAATGTCTTTTTGTCTGAATTAGCCTCTCCGCTTGTGCATTAAAATCACCTGCTTCACCACAACAACCACATCTGAACACTTGACTTTCAATGAGAAGACAGATAGTCTTCTGTAGAACTTACGTTTCACTTCATCCTAACTCCAGTAGTCAGTCGGTGCTTAAGAGGAGATTACAAATAAGCAACAGAGATTTCCTTCACTGTAGTCCTCAGTGTGGCGTTCATGTGAAAGGGCACACATGTGACCATCGACTGAAATCCAGTCGAACAGTACACTCTGTGTCTTAATACCTAGTACTTGCTATGCCACACCAGAAACTCGAAGGATTAATTTCTTAGATTACCCACATTGATCGGGTGAGGTTAATTGCACAGTCGCACTTGGATTCTATATGCATGTCTCCCTAGCGTAGTGCATATCCACGGTCCTAGATGTCGAAGTTCTGGCTAGCTAAGCTTGTTGGCCGATTGGAAGGTTGCTTCTTCCTAGGGTACCTGGAAAACAAATGAGCTCAGTAATAGTGGTGCGTGGTAGTAATCACCGGACGAAATCTGCTTAAGACCAGCCACACATGACTCTTTATCCAGTTTGACAATTCAGTTTGTTTGTTTCGAATCCAGCTACACACCCATACTGCTGGCACTGGGGAACCATAGAAGAGGAGACGGTGTTGTAATTTTTGGACCAAGTCCTTCTAACCCTCATTCGTCACACATGGAAGGCAGCATCAGCGTAGTACTGCTGATTATTTAAGGTAGAAAAATTACAGTCAAGCTAACGGTACGACTTCGCCATGTGACTACCATCATAACATACCTACTTCGTACAATTTCTCCTTTCTGTCATAGCAGTATCCAGCAGAGCTTCATGTTTTGGGGGACCTTTAGATCTCATATGTAATATAAGAGCGTAATTCCGTGATGAAAGGGTTTGTATTAGGTAAACCAGCCAGTACCACTCCAGGTTCTCGTAATTCTACGTATTACAACATTACAGTGATGAATATTTAACAATATACAGACATATATATATATATATATATATATATATATATATATATATATATATAAAGAGGCATATAGACTACCTAGAGTATGATAGGCCTTTCAAGTGTATGACACTGGCACCAAATTTGATTAGAATCAGATGGGCCGTTCTGTTATGGTAAACAGAGAAACGAAAAATCAGCGCTTACTGATTCTCAGCGAAAGATTACAGAGAAAATGTCAATGATATATATTCTGTCATCTTATCTTGTAGGGATATGAATGTTCCACTCGTATCTCCTTCCTGTATCTTGTCACTTCTTGTACCATAGCAAAATATCAGGTAAATATCGCTTACTAAACAAAATGACTTAAGCGTATTGTTTCTCAACTTATTTCTTCACTGTCAAACTGCCGTATAACGCAAACTTATAACAGTGACATTGCAACCCAAATTTCAGCTCCTGAGAGTTTTATACATCAGACAGATTGAAGCAATAAAAATGTGTAGAAACTCCCATTGAAAATGTCTATTGATTTCAAGTTGGTATTCATTATGGACTGACATCATTTGGGAAGCCACTGAAGACCTGGAAGCAATGGACATCTTTTTCGTCCTAGTGTGGGACTCCTCAGCAGTGCATACCTGTGACCCCATCGGGGATCGAACCCAGCACCTTCAGGTTTCGCAACCAGTATGTTACTGCTGATCCACTGGATTGGAATCCAACGGTCCATATTTCCTACTTTTGTCAGTTCATAATATAGTGCAATCTCTTTGATGAATATCAACCTGAAATCAATAAATAAATCCCTACAAACCTCCAAATTAAAAGTGTTTACTTTCATATGAGTAAAGAAGAGTGTAATCTTTTGCTACAGTTGAAAAGAAACACCTTATGAGTAGTCAAAATAAGAAAATAATGGTCGAATGAAACAGCATCCACTGTAAAATGAAAACAATGTATATTAAAAATAAAAGCAGAGATATTTAATGACAAACTGGAGCTCAATTCACATACATTACACTGATTCCTGAGGATTTATGCATCGGAATACTATAGAAAGTTCAAGTTAATTTTCTTCAGTTTTTTCAATCTTGAACCACTACAATACGTATGAAGTAAATATTGAGAAAGAAACCATAGTACCTTGAGTACAAACAAACACATTGTGCATTTATCTTGGTGACTAACAGAGGAATCTAGGATGCGCGTTTCGTCCTACTTGGGACTCGTCAGCTGCGTCCCAATGAATGATGTTATTCTCGCCGAGGCTGAAACCTGGTACCCTTCGCTTCAAACGGCAGAGCGTTATTCACTGGGGTACGATAGCCACCTCTTGTGCAATACATTATGTATTTAGTTTAAGATGTAAAACGCCGAAGAATTATGTGGTACACTAAGTGGAGTTACTTCCACCATTTTGATCGGAATTACAACAGTGGCTCTTTTGCAGACCTCTTGCAGACTATATAAGGATGGGACTGATGAGTTTCACATTACATGTATGTGTTAAATCGAGTATTTATTTATCAATAAAACATCAGAGAATGCACTATTACTCAAAATAACTGCATAGTGTGCTATGAATAAAATGATGATAAGCCATCGACAAACATCACGAACTTACTTCGTAAACTTGGTTCTAGTTTTGCATTTTTCCCTCCAAGTAGTCTAGTATATTTACTTTTTCCAATCGGAGGTGAAAACTTGGCACCATTGTTTGGCATATTCTGTCATAATTTTAAGAAACAAAAGTAAATCTAATTTTTAGCAAATGAAGTTTATTATTTCGCACTTATAATTGATTAAATCTTTTCTAATCACATTGAAAAGAACAATTGTCATACGACAATTTATAACCAACATCAAACAAATTTTCTTTGTACTCTATAAACATTCTCTACAGTCAAATGAATAGTGTAGTGTAGTGTACTAAAAAATACAGGACAGAACCAGTAAATAGTGAAAGCCTCTTTAGAACAAGGTAGAGTAGGAAACTACTTATTATTATAGATATGAGAACAGTAAAGAGTGAGTAATGACGCGGGTTCAAATCACTGGCGAAACATCATTCCCGTAAACGTTACAGATACACCTTGCTTGACAGGTGCCAACAAGTACGAGACATAGGTCAATGAAGGGTTTCCTACAGATCACCTCCATCCGACTAATATCGATTAAAGTGCATCATGGTGCTGAGTCGCCTAGTATGGTGGCAATATTCCGAAATGATTGGTAGAATTCGATTAGGCTACAGGACTAGACAACATAAAGTTGGTTACCCTTCAGTGACTAATCAGTGTACCTAATCCAGTCTTACAGGAGGTCAGTCGTCGCCCGAATAGCTCAGTGGTAGCGTCTCTGACTACAGCACTAGGTAAGGTGGGTTCGAATCCCAGATGGGATATCAGTTCCGTCGAAGTTGCAGATACGCCTTGCTGGCGAGTGACAACAGGCACAAAACCTAGGTTTCCTACCGATTGGCTCTGTCCAACTAGCATCTATCAGTGATCACCTGAGTTGGTAATTTGTAAATTTCACTCAAAAATTGTCTATGACCAGTGATATCCTTCAAATATTTACATATTGTTAGGTGTGAACGTAAGACAGTAATGCTCATTGAATCGTTAGTCATCAAGTACAAATTGGTAATCTACTCAAAACAGGCAATGGAAAGAATATGAAAGAAACCAGTCGACTTTCAGTGACCGTTCACTTTTCTGACATCCGGTTCTAGTCTATCCAAAATACATACTATAGTCAACTCTGGTAGTAATGACTGAGGTCATAAAGGCCTTAAAACGTCTCGTGAAGTAGCAAACAGTGAGCGCTAATTAACAGTTTAAAGTCATCCTTAAAAATCAAAGTTCAACCTTTATAGTTAGGCTAATTAGTTTTATTTAATGTCCAAGTTAGGTGCATACTAGTTGAACTGGTCCCATCAATCGGATATCTTCTGTGATAACTGTTTTATGTTGACATGTATGATTTGAAACCTCCTAGGAATGATGATTCCTGACCTTGAAATACAAATCTATTGAAAAATAATGAGAGGTTAGAGAGATTAACCTTTGTACAATTTGAAAAAAAGCATACTCACTAATTCGTCTTGGTAATAAGAGATATGGCGCTATCCAGAAACTTCAGTTGTTACCTGCAGTAGTAACCAATACTTAAGCAAACATCAGATAGTCACATCTAAGTGCTTAAAGTCATTCACACTTGTTGTAGGGAGAGGTCAAGAGATTGAGCGTAGTATAAGGCTAAACTGTAACCTATGGCAGGTGCAGCCTGCACTAAGAGAATGATAATTTCATCCACTAAACAAGGAACTTTTTATTAAGCCCTCAAAAGTATGTGATTATTTGACTAATCAGTGTATAGTAAGCTGAAGTTTGTGGCATTAGAGGACAAGATGTTCTATCTAAGTCAAATGATCTGACTACAGATTTTGACAGCAATGACGAAACTGTCACCAAAAGAAGATTTATGCGACCATTAATTTCCTGGCGTTGGTTGCATACAGGAAAGTGAGACAAATGTTTGTAACGCAGTAAGAAGATGGTCAGTTATATATGAGAAGGTAGCATTCATCATGGACTGACGTCGGTTAGAGAACCGTTAAAAACTTGACAGCACTTGATGGCTGTTTCGTCCTAGTATGAGACTCCTCATGAGTAATGAAAAGCTGTGACCTCTGAGATATCGCTTGTGTTTGATGAGATGAACGATGTAAATCCAGTAGGAAATATGTGGAAATCTGGCTACTGTGTTTATGACGGATATCGATCTAGTTGACTAAGTCAGGAAAACTAAGCATAGTAATAGACGTATTAGCACATCAAGATACATCAGGCGATACAAAACACAGGTAAAGCTGTCTGTAGGTAGCTATGGCTCAGTGATGAATCTGAATAATTATTACACCAAGTAGTCACCTGAATCATGTGCATCTTAAACTTTAAATCTTTTTTAGAAGCAATCGCAAGACATTTTCTACTAGATACATGTGATATTAACAACCGCACGCCGACTATCAAGAGATTAATTAGTAAAGGAACTGAATATTTCTTATTTAGTCATATGGCAATTAGTAAAGCATCTATTGACAAAAGTTGACTTTGTTTCAAACCAAATAGACGTTAGACATTTAAAAGCACCAAGTGTTCAGTATTAGGATTCAAATTATGAATTTGAGTCTGTCTTCCTATGCTTGAAGACTCAGTGTAATACATTGTTTTCCATCGGTCAACATGAATAACTTAACAGAGTTATCTCTAGTTACAGCAATGAACCATATGCGTATTTGAAATCTCAAATTGAGTATGCCAGTTTTGTCCTAGTTGAAAATAGGATTGATAACTTACTTTTGATATTAATTTTTAAACACATAGAGCAACTTACCTCTCGAATAACAGTTGGAGAGTTTATTTCAAAGGCTAGTCTACCTAACAGTTTTACTCGTGCTAAACTTGTATTCTTGTTAATATTTTTGTTCTCACCAGTGTTGTACGTGTTACTGTTGACATGATGATGTTGATGGTTAGCAGCAGTAGTATTATTCGCATCAGGAGTGTTGTTATTATTACACGTATTGTTGTTATTGCCAACACCACTATCTTCACACACTGTGAACGAAGCACTAGGATGACAGAATGTATGATGTTGTTTTATTCGTTTCACTGCATTCCTTGTTGATAATTCACTGGATTTTTCAATAAATTTCCTCTGGAAAAATAATAAATATAAATGATGTAGTGAATATCACGAGGTTTGAGACGAAAATGGTGGATGATTCAAAGAGTGCGCGTAAAAATCTCCACACAATGTAAATAAGTAAAAACGAGCTAAAGTCTACTTGAAGAACTAATAAAGACAAGCAGCAGTACATTTTAATAAATTAGACAAATCTACCAAAGCGTCGCTTCAGTCCCTTAAATATACCAAAAATCATGAAAAAAATGATAACCTAATGAATCTATCATTCGACCCTACTCCTTTCTTCATTCCAAGTGTAATAAAAACTACGCTATTTCATGAAGAACCATTCATACTTCAGTACACGGAAACTTTGTGTTCGACCATAGTCTAATTCATTTTTATGCAGTTTAGAAGACAGTTGATATCAAGAGCCATGAGGAAAACTTCAATCTCAGAATCAATATCTACGTTTTGTCCATAATCAAAAATTATCTATGCTGCGTATGAAATGCTTTTCTCCGTGTTAAGGCAGAGCTGGATAAATTCTTTGTCTGAAGAAATAAGCATTTAACTGCATTATGTTTACTACAACTTTAGATTGATATTTCCAGATGTCCTCGTCGAGAGTAGAGGTAAATAAACCCGTGAGACCCAAATATGTTGGAAACTAGTTTATATGGAATAAATTTCACATTACAATGGCAATAGCCCCGATGAAAAACAAGCTGTATGCAATACTATTTAGACAAGTGAAAATTCACTGGATACATGCGCAGTGAAGAAAATTTAGAGTTGTTTTTATACAGTCATTCAGTATTGCCTAAGTATTAGGTCGCGTATTTCCCCCCCCCCCCCCCCATCAGAAGCATGCATTTACCATTTCTCAGTTATTATTAGGAAATGAGATACCCAACCAACAAGAGCATCAACAACAAGTATCAATCACCATTAACGAGAGAAACCTAAAAGAAGTTGTCGCTTTCACCTACCTACGTAGGCAGCATCATTTCAACCACAGGTGGCACAGATGAGGACGTCAAAGCCAAGATCGGAAAAGCAAGACGGGTCTTTGTCAATTTGAAACCAGTGTGGAGATCTAATCCACTGCAATCGGCATAAAGAACAAGATCCTGATTTTCAACACTAATTCAGTTAAGTCAGTGCTTCTACATGGTTCAGAATCTTGGCGCGGCGCGAAAAGCACTTCCAACAAACTACAGACATACATCAACAGCTGCCACCTACGCTCACTCGATACTGAAGATCAGATGGATGGCCAGGAAGAATAAGCAACAAGGAACTCCGGCTGGCTGGCAACGAACCAACCAAGAACCCATCGCCCCACAAATATGCAGAAGAAAGTGTAGATGGATTGTGCATATACTGAGAAGACCGACTGGGGACATCACGTTCCAGGCCAGGCTGTTGAGTGGAATCCGAAAGGGAAACGACGAGTTGGGTGTCCCAGGTGAGGGTGACATGGAGGAGATCATGTGAGGAATAAATGAAAGCTTGTTGGCAGTGGTGGATCCATGTTGAAAAGACTGTAGAGAAGAGGGTGCAATGGATGCGTGCTACTGAAGCCCTATGTTCCACTAGGAACCCAAGGGACAAATAATATCATAATTAGGAAATGTGTGCAAGTGGGAGTGGTTGCTCCGATGCTATGTGGTGAGAAACTCTATTTTATGCTGAGTATTATTGTCAAGCAGTTTTAAATGTAGTTGAGAGATTCTTCATTTCCCAGAAAGCTATTTATGCATAATGTGTAGACTTCTTATTTCATGAGTAAAAAATGTACTCAAGGTACTTTATACAGTCATGTAATCTCTTTCTCACCATAAAGCATTATCTTTCGTCGAAAATTCCTCAAGATATACATAATTCGCAGGCAAATAACGATGATTAAAAAAAACACAGGAAGATCTGACAAGCTCATCTTAACATCACATTTAAAGAAGTTACTCAGTTGAAGTGCTATATCAAAGTAATAGTTACTAAATCATCATCACAGTGATTCACACGACTCACCGGTTTGCAGGACTATCTTGACTAACAGGGTGGGGGATGGAGTTTCTTAAACAGTCACCGATTGACTTCTGAACCTAGTCACTTGTTTGCTAACCATGCAAGTAGTTGGGGATGAAATGCCTGGGTGCCACCATCTAACCGTAGAGGGAGGAGGGTTGATATTAGTAGAGTGGTGGGTGTGATATACGGTCGGCCTTAGAGGGATAACCCAGGCTGTCCCTACTAGAAAGAAGAGGTAGTTACGCGGACTCTGGGCCTTCTCCATTAGTAGGGGTTCATAGCCCGTTTTGCACACCATTTTCATTTATGTGCATCTAGTTGGAACGCGGCCCATCGGTCGATGATGTTTAGCTCACATGGAAACCAGGAAAAGCTTGTAAAATCACATAGGTTAAAACTGTTGGTTGTTGATTGTTGAATTGCATTCTGAATGTACAGTTTCAATCTAATTAGCTCACACTACTTAAGTAAGAGTAAACTTTCTGCTTAGTATCTGTGTAACAAAAGTAATTGACGGTAAAAAATTTCAGAGGATGTAGCCAGATCAGCATAGATGTACCCACTTCTTACCTTCGTCTTGGTTTTTGGACATTATTATTCTCCATTTTTTATTCCCCATCTCATTTGTTGTTTCTTCTTCTGGTCATCAAATGTGGACTGTGATATGTTAATTAAGAAGTCTACTCACACTAATTGGCTTAGTCTTTAATCGATTTTCTTGATGTGTAAACAGGCTTTTAGGGGAAAAGATTACTCATCTCATCTCTGGGATATTTCTTACCTATTTATGTGTTACGCATAACCACATATATGTGTTGATGGTTTTTAAACTAGCAGTTTGGGTTTGAACTAAAAAAAACTTACTCAATTGATTTCAGAGATTTTTCAGTCTGATTAGTTATTTAAATCAGTGAACAAGAACAAAATGTATCTGAAAATGAATGCGGTCTGTGAAACTACTTCAGTAGTGAGGTAACTGACTGATACCGTATTAAACTGAATTACTTAGCTCGAAAATAAAAGACACTTCAAACGGAACTTTCCCAATCATGAAGGATGACTGTACTTGACTTTATGCAAGAGTCATTTACATGCCTCAAGTTTGAATTGAATCATAGATATCACTGAAAGCATCTATACTTGTCTCAATGACATCTGTAGTGTAATTTGACAAAAAAGTAAAACTGATACATTCTTCATGAGTATTTATGAAGATAAACTCTAGTGAGATGCTTCTCACTGATTAGCGTTTGAAATCCAAAGTTTATTACTGTCTTCTTTTTCGTTTACGTTTTTTTGAAGGTCTAATTGGATTCAGATTGGATCTAGCTCTCTGACTTTGTTTATCGAATGAATTCTCATTAGGACGCTTTCAAAATATTACTGTTTAGATTGATTTAGCATCTTGTACTACTTTATTAAAACAACCATCCATTGAATTACCTTATCCTTGTTCTTTTAAGGCGGAAGACATTCCATTGTTTGGTTTTAATGAAATCAGGTAGTCAAAACGGAAGATAAATGTTTTTCATTTTAGTTTTGCTGATGAAAAGCACACTTGAAGAGGAGCTATTGTCCTCGAAATCTCTACTCTCTTTTCTTGAAATAAACCATCCATTCCCGCTGTTTATTCCTTGAGCGACCAATGAAGCAGTTACCTGTTTTGTCCCAGAGTTGACTGGACCGAACTGATCGGTCTCTATTGATATGTGAGCTCTTGCTCAGAGGCCTAGGTATTACCTCTATTTTCAGTTTGGTAGAAATGATGGATAGTCTCTAGAAGTGGAATCCAGGGTGCACGTTTCGTCCTATTTGGGACTCGTCAGATGGATGTATCTCCCATCCAGTGGGCGATGTTGTTCCCAGTAATACTTGGCCCAAGAATCGCGCTAGAGCCTACATGCTATTAGAGACTGATCATTTCGGTCAGTTCAACAATGGAATAATATAAGCAACATCATATAAACCATATCAGTTGTACAAGAACTGGCTATCGTGACTGTATAGCCTAGTGGATAAAACTCTGGAGTTCCAAGCGATTGCTGCGAGTTCAAGTCTTAGTGGAAACAACGTCACTCAATGGGAGGTTAACGAATTCCATGTGGGACAAAACCTGCCTACTGGTTTTCGCCGCTAGCCACTATACATCACTAATTAGTGAGGTGGGCATGTTAAGCTACACACACTTATGAACACACATTCATTACCTTACAGGTTGACTGGCTGATTCAAAGACTAGTAGATCATTTAAGAACTATGATAGATCTGCGTCCATGTTTATTGATCGTAAGATTGCAGACTTCACTTTCGAACCCGACTTAATTCTTATTGGCTAGTAATGGAGCTCAAATATTAGATCACTTGTGAAGAAAATGCATGATTACACACTTTAGTTTCCTCATGGATAAGCATAAGTGCATGAAAATGATTCATATGAGGACGATCTACTGAGTAAGTAAACTCACAGGTTTCACTGTATCTTCACCTTAAAAGTAAAGCATACAGTTTAAAAGAAATAATGTTTAGACCAACTATACTGACTATAGAGAGAAGGAAATGAAGCAAGAATCTAGAAATGTTCTCAATGATCTATTGAGAGTTTTGAAAATATAGGATTCAATGCAGCTGAATATCAACACTACAATGAAATTATACACAGTAAATTGTTTTCACATGCAAAGATGTACAGAGACCCATAAATTTTGATTTAATTCAACCGCCTAGTTTAAAATTTTCATTACTCACAAACAATAACACAACACTGAAGTAACTCAATGTAAACAAGTCTTGAATTTTTGAAAATGATTGGGTAACTCACCAAAAGCTGCTATCACCTTGAGCTGTTTCAGCTGTAATCGTTTGAAGATAAGGGTCTTTTTTGAGATCCTATAACAAAATAAATTAAGGGTACTTTAAAATTAACAAATCGGTTATTCAATAAATGGCTGTAAATAGAGGCTACATCGATGATAAACAATACTGTTTACTTCAGAAATTGACTTGAGCAAACAAGCGAATATAAATAAAATTCGTTACAATAGTATATAAGTTCACAGTACAAAGAACAACGGAAATAATAGAGGAATTTCAGGCTAAAAAAGAAATGAGGTGCAAAATGGACTGGACTGGAAAACAAAACGAAGAGAGGTGACATATACACTTCTGTGACCAACCTTAAACTGGTTTACCTAAGTTCTTCATTACCGCTGGTTTATATAGTTGTTGCTAGACACTCCAATCTAACCCTTTTAATCCCTCACTTGGGCCACTGATATTCTAGTTAATATAATGCATGAGGATAGAATCAATATGTGCAGAAAATCTTGTGATTTAGTTGGTGGTGGCTAGCAGTGGGATCTAGGAAGCGAGTTTCGTCCTGGGTCCCAGTGAGTGATATTGACCCCACTGAGACCTGAACCCGGGACTGACCGCTTCCAACACTACAGCGTTACCCACTAGGCCACTGAGACACGAGGGTGTAAGTTGTTGGATACCTGTAAGTTCCTGTTGCTATACATGGTTGAACTGCTCGACGTCTGTTGGCATATGGGCTCCTATACAGATGTCTTAATATTGCCTGATTATTGATTTGCTTGGTGGCATCAAGACATCTGCATAGGAACTCATATGCCAATACAAGTCATTCCGTTAGATCCAAAATAACAGCTAGTAACTACAGTTATCAATACATAATGTGTGGAAAATTTTCCATTAATTTTAATAAGTTTACTTTTATATATTCATCACCTGATGGACAGCATTTATCCCAGACCCAAATGTTCAACCCTGATATTATGGAGAAGGTACTCCAAACAACGTCTGCAGGCTTTTGATAGTTATGAGGTGCATAGCCTGCAGTACCATAAGGGAAAGTGTTGTAAACTGAATTATTGGCTAATATTACAAATAGTATGTACCGGTAATTAAAGGTGGAACCGGTCGAAGTCGTAAAATCTTTTGTTGATGCGTCCACTAAGGACCAAATGTTTGCATACGAAGGGAGTTATTGCACTCACCTTAAATAAACTTGATACATAGAGGATCCATTCTAAAAACATCATTATACTTTTTTTAAATACAAAAAAAACTCCAACCATATTTAACAGGAATGCTAAAACCCATCCTAGCAGCTACTGAAATAGCCAATAAGATTAATCTATTTTCGGAAGAAAAAATCTATCCAGTTAAAATAAAGAAGCTTTATTGGTTGTCTCACTGGCTGCAAGGATCAATTTTAAAGCCACTTTTCTAGTGTTTCACTTGTGGAGCTCAGAAGATCCCTCTAGTGCTTTCCACTTGCATTTTGACTGTCATAGACTAGGTAAGTCAAGAGTTGGTATACTTCTTATGGTGAGTTTGCTCTCATGATGATTTAGAGTTACTTTCTAAAGGTCACTCTAAATACTGACTTTAGAGATCGACTAAGCAGATGCTGAAATAACCAATTCGAGTTGAGTATTCCATCTGGATAGGCAGTCGTGCATGAAACAAAGAAACGTGGTTGGTCATCTCATCAATTTTAAGGGCAGCTTTTAAAGCCACTCAAATACTCAACGGCTTTTCCTGCAAGCATCCCAGTCAGAACATAAAAGGTGACATTAACATTAATCGATTCAAGTCCTCTCATTTATTTATTATAAACACAATGAAGGACGAAAATGTTAAATATAAGACAAGTTTCAAGATATATGAACTAATCAAATCAGGACAAGAATATTTTCGTGGGTGCGCACAGCTGACAAGTCCCAGGATTAAATAAAAAATGTTGTCTAAGGTTTTTCAGTTTTCAATAGTTCTGTGACTCATTTATCCATTATGAAAACTCCCTTGCGGAGGTTCAAACCATTTTAACGCATAATGTAACAATGTTTAAAACTGTGAAACGTGGTATGCAGTTGAATATTGTGTAACGGGAATTTTCTAGATACAGCCATTCGACTAGACACAGTTCAGTACCTCTACTTGCAACAAAAACTCCACCTTTTGTCTTGAGATAAATGCAAAGAATCTGTCAAAAATTTCTTTTATTTCACCTTTATTGTATGTTCAAATGGGATGAACCAACGCTTTCTTAATGGCTTTAACTCGGTTTTCCTGAAATGACACTTCTCGAACACGTCAGGCAGCAAACGTCGAGCAGTTAGACATTATACAGCAACGGGAAATTACAGGTACCAATCAATACAAATGATGCGCGTTGCGCAGGTGATGACTGTCGTGCCCCAGTAGCCTAGTGGGGAACACTTTGGCATGGGAAACAGTGGGTACTGGGTTCAAGTCTCAGGGGAACAAGATAACTCACTGGGATGCAGGTATATCCAGTTAACGGGTCCCAAATGGGATGAAACGCATGTCCTGGATTTCGCTGCTAGTCACCAATATGAATAAGTAGAAAAGCTTCAAAATGTAAGGCTTTGTAGAATGACCAAGATATCCGCCCTTTTACCATGCGTTAATCCTATGACTGAAATAAGAATCAATTATAGAAGAAAACTGTTTTCACTCAGTTTCTGAGGAGAATACTTAGAATCAGCCCAAAAACATCCTACTGAAGCTGGAAACGTTCCACAACCCGATTTACAAACGACAGGCTATGAACGCAACTAAATACGCTGTTTAATTTCCTACTGAGTTCACAATTCAAGCGTTTGAAAGTAACAAGAATCGTAGCACCAAACCAAGTCATCTGCAAAGTCCACAGTTCAGGCATAAATATGCCAAGCAGCACATACCTAACATCAGAAGTCATTAATCAATTTCAGTTTATTAAGTTGATTATTGGAAAGCTTGACGCTTGCCTACACCTCTGTTCTAGATCAATAGGAAAACTATTAACAACCAGAGAACAGGGGTTAGTTATTCCATTCTATCACTGGCATCTCGGAAGTGGTTAACCCTGGTAAAAACGGCAAAAGAATAAAAAACTTTAAACTTTTAAACCAACGCGACATAATATTTTTATACTGTTTCATTTCCAGTAGTCGTTTATCCGGTACTAAATTGTGATGTGAATCACTTTTTAAGAAAACAGACCAGCAGGGAGAATGAAGGATAGAAGTAGTATACTTAAATTTAATTTAGATCTCCACTATTCCACCCATTTTGACTTCATTAAATATTGCTGAAGCTTCCACTTTTTTCGCCAATATCATTTCACTTTAAGTTGGAAATCCCAAGACAGCAGTCAAAAGTTTGACATAGAAGATATAACCATACTTAGGAGCAATTTATTCCCACAAACGTACAGGATAGATCGTTTTTAAATTGAGATGAATGAGGAAAATTGGGTGTGCATATGCGCGTGTAACTTGGCAAAAAGAAGATTCAATAAAACTCAACAACTTCCACATTTTATACTCCGAAGCAGTTAGATCAAGTATCTACGTTGGTCATCAGGTTTTCCTGTCTACAATCACTACATTGAATAGATGAGACCATCTTTTGTAGGAAATGACACTTCGAAAATAATTATTTTTTGTAGAACGACTACCCTATCCATTTAGAACTAGTTATCAGAATGTCTGTCAGGGGACGTAGATAACAACAACAAATAATAAAGGGCATCTTGTGTCGTATAGCTACAAGCAGTTTTAAGACAGTTTCAGATACGCACCTATAAAATCTGTAAGTAGAGAACCCCAAATCCTGCGATTATGGGAGTGATCACCAGGAGCATGAAGTGTGGGGGTGAACTCCAACACTAACACGAACTTTGTTAACTGGGAAAAGCTCTGATTTGTGTATTACAGCATAAATGTCTGTACAAGCTATTTTACCCAAGTTGAAGTTTTAAAAGGAATCACTAAACTGACCTTCATAATTGTTTGAAATTCATTAACAATTTCATCTGCATTTTCACTGTCCAAATTGGTCAATTCACCGTCTTGTGAATTTACCTTATTTAAACGTAGATATTCATTGTACGCATAAGTGGCTAAATCGGCGGCATCGAATTTGTGTAGACATTTGTAGTTTTCTCGAACCTCCTATTTGTGAAAGTGGAGTGGAATTAGACCAGGCTAAGCTGTTTATTTCAATTTAATAAATAGAAAATATTTGAAACAATTAGTTCCCTTTATAAACTTCGACAAAACAATAAGAAGACATAAATCGTCTGAACCGTGTAATCCCCAACATATTTCGAATAATCTGATCACACATATACTTGTCATGAGTATTTCTATGAGAATTCATCAAGATAAGGTATGAGAATATAAAAGGAGATTAGTCAAGTAGGAAGGTTAAATTAACTATCAAATAACATTGAAAATCAATAGAAGGAAAATAAATTTACATGGAACTTAGTTTCAGGGTTGAATTCATCAAGGGAAATATAATGTGACAACTAATCGTTTTTGAATACACAAAGGTGGTTTAAACTTCCTAACAGCTTAGAATTCAACAAATTTAAAGATCCGTTCCCAACACGATTTTGTAAATAGATCTTAAGGAAATAGCAACGTCAGTCCTGTTACTTGTTTCAACGATATGTTTCGCAATCGAAGAACCTGAACATCTACTACCAACGTTTATGGGTTTAGATGATTCAGTTTGCTCCTGAAGCCACTTTGGAATATGCTTGGAGGCCCTTACTTGCATAAATCTACGAGTCCTCCTCTTATATGTGTCACCACACATACATTTGAATTAGTAGATGCAATGAGATGTGAAATTGTTGTGCACATGTTGTAAGGATTAGAGAGAATATACAGGTTTGGTGGCTTCTATCAGTCGAACACTACCTGTATAGTAAGTCCTTATAACATCAGCGTTAAGTCTCTGCTTAAGGATAACGCTAGGAGAGTTACTTTTTTTATATGACTGGTGAAGATATCTTTCTTCGGGACAAAGTGAAGAGCAGGTTATGGCTATCTGGCTGTTTTGGACTGGTTAATAAATTTTAATAAACAGTTATTTCCCAATAGTGTTTCAGTCAGTGTTCTTCTCTCGTCTCTCGAGGTATCATTTATGCATATTCGTTGAATTCTATGGAATAAGGATCTAACTAATCCTTGCTTGTACTGAACTATTATAGTTCAGATATTGCCCTTCCGATGTAGGTTTTCTGTAGATGGATCGTTTTATGGATCCATCCTGCCACTGACTAATTAATGTGTCCAAGAAAGGCTTCAGTCATTGTTATCTTCAACATATGTCAAGGGTATGCCGCTCTGTACTTCATTCAATCGGTTTAGAATTGAAGTGGACTGATTTGAGTCATCACAAATAATTAAGATATCGTCAATATATCTTCTATATAGATTAGGTTCTCCGCAAAGTTTTCCACTCGTGATATAAATATACCTGATATGTCTTATTGATCTATCGAAATAAAAATTTACCCTAGATGTTGGGCATATATGTGTGTATGTAATATTTGTTTCTAAAAGATAAAACACAACATACATTTTTACCTTTCCTCCATCTATTTTCATCTAATCTTAATAATACTTGTGTATGTGTATGAAGTAGAAAGTATTTTAATTCAAGGTTTTTGTTTGCTATTGTCAATAATTACTAATACTGGTCGATAGGGCAGTAAAAATCAGAAAATACTGAACTGTTGTTTATAGATACTTGTAATTTCCCGTTGCTACACAGGGTCGAATTGCTCGACCTCTGTTGCTGGAGGTGTAGGTGCATCCAGCTGACGAGTCCCAAATAGGGCGGAATGCGCGTCCTCGATTCCACTGCTAGCTATCAAACAGACTACAATACTGAATTATTGTTTCAACTAACTTGGGCTACGATCCAATCCTGTTTACTACCAGTCATACTTGCTAATATTTCCAGTGAGGATCATATATCCATACAGTGAAAAACGGAATATGATAATGATTGTTGTTGGCTTGCAATGATGACCAGTGTTTAGTTTATCAGAAATCCTCTGAACGCCAAAGAAGAACTGGTTTTCATTTCCTACTTGGCATATCGGTGGATAAGGCTATTGCACTGATTTTTGTGGTTAGCATAATTCACTGAAGGTGTTAGTAACACAGTTAAAACGCACAAAATATTTCACAGGTCGATAATCAAGGGAAGTCAACATTTTCTCTGTTTCACATGACTATCTTTGATTTAAACCTATAAACCTGTACATTTGAAGGCATCCTGGCCAACAATGGACTGGATGGTTTGAAAAAACTTGGGCACTGAGTTAGTATGATTCATTGTATAGGATGTAAACCTGTACATTGACCATAATTTCCAATTTAGGATGACTGTCCGATAGCTTTTATGAATTTTTAACTGTTGTTCAACTATTATCGATTTCTGGTAATAAATAAGCTTAAAATGGCAGACAATCTTCTTTATTTCCTCATAATATAAAACTACAGTATGAAAAATGAATTGCTGTGTCATCCCTGATCATTATCAACAGCTGAGAGATTAAAAATTAACACGAAACTCCAAAAAACTGTTCTTATTATATGCCAATAATTTATAATTTTCATTCAGCATCGAACCAACATGAGTGATAAAGCTTAGTCACTAACTAACCATCAACTCGGTGACATTTTTCATTTCAATCAAGAAAAACAAAAATTTCAAAATTTACTAAAACTAGTTCTATTTATTTATATTGTCTTAAATATTTCGATTTATTTCCATAAAACGGAATCCCCATAATGAATAAAATCTGGCCATGACCTCAATACAAGCCATTTTTGTACTTTTATTTCTAGAACCAGATAAACAGTTTAAACTTCTCCCTGCTTTATAACAGCTCACCATTAAATTAGTTTATCAGCTTTTTCTGTATCTGATTTTCTCATTTTATACATATTTCTGAGTTACTCAATGGTGATGAAGACCTAAAGCAGATATATTTCATCATGAAGTGACCTAGTTCGAGACCTTCAGTGATAAATTCGTTTAACTTCCTCCTAGAGCTAACTGAGAATCGTCAACAACTTCTTTCAGTCAAACTACAGTTCATTTATTGAGTTGGCATCTAAACATTTGCAACTAATCTTTGCAGCATATTAATGACGTTCCTTTAGTTTCTAGTAAACTCCTCTAACAATTAAAATACTTATGAAGTTGAAGGTGGACCAAAATGAATATTCTACAGGTTCTATATCATAAGTATCCTGGTAACAGTACTCACGTGAGGTCAAATCATACAGTGAATATAACACTTACGGTATATATCGATTACTGAGCAAAAAAGGTGAGTTAGTTGGTGATGTTTCCTGTATGGATTGACTAATTTTCCTGGAAAATGTAGCATAAATACCATGTCATCACCTATCAGGATGCTATGTACAATCTAGAGTAGGGTAAGGTTGAAGGAAGGTCATGGAATATGAAACTAAGACATGATGCCACACCACCAAATCTATAACCCTTGGTTTATAGGCAAGTAAAGGCTATCCTATACGATGCTTCAATGTTTTAGGAATTAAAAATTAAGAAATTCGAATTTTGCAGCTCAAATCAAATTCAGTAATCGTGGATCTGTGTATTTTATTAGTGTCAAAAGTTGACCCACATCAAATCGTCTATGTTGGTCTCTCTCCCCCTTATCCATTGATTTTTACTGCATTGGCAATTCTCCTGTCTTCTAATGCCAGTGTTAGATTGTTTAACACAACTTCCTGTAACTGTGTAATTATGGTTATTTTTACTACTGCTTATTTGTATCATTGGTATTTATTTTATTCACGAACAGGCTTTTCTCCCTTGATCACTTTTGTTGTTGGCGAAGTAAGTTCTCAATATGTGCTCTTTATAGATTGCCTTGACTGACTTGGACAAGTGGTGAGTATGCAGAGCCACCGCCTACCTCGACGTATCATGCTAGGGTAAGCTGGATTAGATGGAAAAAAGGTTCAGGGTGGCCAGGACAAGACGTGGCACTAGAGGACAAAGCCTATAACTGTTGGTCTGAGTCATGTGGGAAATGATGACTGCCTGGATGGGGTCCTCGAGATGATAGGAATCAGTGGTTGAGGACTTTGGTTGAAAATCGATCACAGTGGCCCTAATATATTCACCCTTTGAAGTCTTCTGGAGGTTGAATATTTGCACTAACCTTTATCTTTGGATTGTTTATTCTCTCATACAACTTTGTCTGCTTCGATATGAGTCTTTTTCTATCCAACTGTTTTTGTATACTACCGTGAAGTGTGGCAACTTGAACCAATGCACTTGTGTGGGATGTTCTGTGCTGACTCTGTCTTTCTATCCCTGCCCTGACTGTTATCAGTTCACCTTAGTTATCCCTGTAAAGCAAGTGACAGTTCAAAATGATAACGCTCCAGTTTGAAAATATTCTACTAGTATTTCAGTCCTATTGTTATTGGTAGTACTGCTTTGGAAAATACTTCAATAACATTGTGCTGTTATTCTCAGGTTTATGTGAGGGATCTAGTCTACCTCTAGTTGTTGCCACTGACAATTTACAATTCGTTAGAATGAACTCATTATCTTCTAAATTTTAAGTATTTCATTAATTTTACTCATTTGTTCTGTCCCCATTTACACTCTTCTTTTTACGCTATCATAATGTTTGTCTTTTTGAAAACTTTGGCAACTTCCACCTCTTACTTTTCTGTGAGATGTTCTGTGCTGGTTTATCATTCTTATCTTCATGATATCGGTGATATTTTTTGACAGCACTCAGACAAGTCAGAAGTAATCACCAGGCAGACTGTAGAGATTTTAACGTAGTCAAACTAGTCATTTCACGAAAGACACTAACCATTAAATATTCCCATCATAATTCAAAAGCTATTTTAGTGAGCAAAGAATATTCTTTTCGATTACTACTTCACGTCCTGTAGTTATATGTACATACCGGGGAATTCTTTCAACAATATTGAGATTTAGTTTGTGTTTGTTATTGTTATACAGTCGTCTACTGCTCTAGAACATAAATTTTTGTGCTTACAAACACCTTCCACTGTGTGATAAAGATCATTATCAGCTCTATATTAATACACTTAGGTATGAATAAGTCGTTTTCCATCCAGCAATGGGTTCCCATCAACTTGCCAGGTGCGAATCCTTCGTATTGCAGAAGTGGTAGCAACTAGAATATAGTAATCTGAATTATGTGTTCAAAATAAGGAAGTAGTGGAACTACAGTGATAATGGTACGATTCGGGACTCACAAATTCCTTAACATTTTATCCCAGGTAATCTAATTCAATACTGTAAATACTCCCCGTTCATCTCTATAATCTGAAATAATTCTAACACTTTTTTTTGATCCGTTTTGTCCTCCAACAGAAGTAACATTTCAGCAAGCTATTAATCCTCAAACTGTCTTTCTTATTTTATTTCATCCAACTGTCATAAACATCTTCCTAAAGTTTTTGTTAAATTTTCCCCTTATTGCATTACCTGGCACCGTGTAACCGTTTAAATATTCAGTTAGTTTGAAATAACTTCCAGCAGTACTTGATTCTGTTCACACAAGAATTACCAGAATTGACTTCCTCAACTGTTTAGTATTAATAGTAAGCTGTTAAGTGAAACCTTAATATTGTTCAGTTTGGAGGCTTCCGGGGATTTACTGACTTCAAGTTGGTATTGACCATGAATTGACACTACTTGGAGAAACATTGGAAACCTGAGAGCACTGGATAGCTATCTCGTTCCAGTATAGGACTCTTCAGCAGAGCTTACCCCACCACATGACAAGCTTCGAGAGGTGATTCCTAAAGTTCAAACAAGAAGTCGTAGACGGTGGGACAAACTGAGTGGATGTGAGGACAAATACTCAACGATGAAATTGTGTGATGGTCACACCATATCGTGAACTGACAGGAGTAGGAAATATGGACCATTGGATTCCGATGCAGTGACTCAATGGTAACGTGCTGGTTATGGAAGCTGAAGGTTGTTGGTTTGATTGCTGTTGGATGAGGTCATGGGTGGACATTGTTGAGGAGTTCCATGCTATGAGGAAACAGCGTCCAGTGCTCTCAGTTTTCCAATGTTTCTCAAAATGATGTCAGTCTATGGTGAATACCAACTTGAACTCAATATTGTTGACTCATAAGTCCTCAATTCGCCCACATAACAGTAGGATCTGAAGAAGAAGTTATCGGAAAGAATATTCTGCATTTTTCACTTAGCTGACTCGAATATTTCGAGAAAAGTATGCAGGTTATATTCCACAGAACAGAGCATAGACTGGATTAAGGTTAGAGCAAGTCAGTATAATTCTATCAACGACACATCAGATCAAGAATGCTTTCCTACTTCAGCTTTGAGGTAATGAGCTTCGAGAATGATGAAATCCACCCCTGGAAGCCTTATAAAGTTACTTTTTCGTAACTTCATATACCTCAAAAACAACATTTTAAAGGAGTAAAAACATTAAGTGATAATAGATCTTCAATAACATCTTTTCCCTAGCTGATATTGACTTATTTATAAGATGAAGGATAATTCACTGCAGCAACAGAGGGTAAATTAATTTGACATATCATCTTATAAACAAGATCAAATTGTTAGTAATATATGGTAGCATTTCAGATAAGCTTCTCCTATTTTCGAAATAGAGATACTACTCAATTAGAGATCAGAAAAAGGCCAACGCTGTCTCAGTTGTATATATATATATATATATATATATATATATATATATATATATATATATATATATATATATATATATATATATATATATATATGCATGCCTAAATAAGCAACTGAAAACACCTCTTGAACAACTGCTTTTTAGAGCAAACACTTCCAAATAACATTTCGATTTGTCTCAAAGTAGCACAAAATACAGTGACTGATTAATCCGCGTTTGTTTGTTGTGCATGTTTTCTTCCCCACTTCCTCCCTTTCTTTCGCCTAATCGATACAGTTTTTGATGATACTAAAACTGCAATATTTAAGAGTGACCTGAAAATATTGTATCCAGCTGGTTTTAGAAACTGATTTGTCTATCAAGTAAAAAAAGAAAATACGTCATTGATTTTTCTTCTTTCCTATAAAGTTTATGCCATCTAATAAATGTATAAACTTTACCTCAGTCATATAGGTTAAGCATAAATTCGCAATTGAGATAAACAGAATGTGAATTAACAGTTTAATGGACATTAGATGAAAATATAATCCCCACTGTAGACAAATATCAGTTGAAAAAGCATCGGAACCTCGGAAATCAATGTGTAAACATTTCTTCTCTCTGTGGGGCTCGTCAGTATTGAAGGCGCTTAAATTTTTGTGAACTTGAACCTTGAACATTTTGCTGCACATATTTATTTTATAAGTTTGACTATCTGAGGTAGCTGTGATTTGGCAGACTTATTTAATCCTTGGTGAAGGTGAAATGAAAATTTCGGCTGTGGCGGGATAGCCCAGTGATTGAAGCTCCAAATCCCTTCAGTGATCACCCAATAACATATTTATTTCATAATTGATGGCTGGCAGTGCTATTCTAGCACCTAACGTTTTAAATATCTGACTGTTATTCATTAGATTCAGTGGGATGCAGGCCAATCCAACTAAAAGTACCGAATCGGATGAAATGCCCGTCTCTAACTTCATTATATGTCAAACTGGTAATAATCACAATGTCAAGGCAATTATACAAGGGGGCTAATATTTTTACAGAGATGAGGTGAATCACCCATGTTGATCATTGACCGGAGAGATAGAGAATTCTAATGACTAAAACTGTTGAAGTTAACAGTCGGCAAGTAAACAGAGATTTCAGTCCTGTTCACAATTTGTTGAATACTACAGGTTATGCTTCAAGTTATTGTATTCGTAATACAGTTTGCGTGTTTGTACATGAGATAAACTGAGATATTAACTAAGGTTCCCATATACATCATCATCTACATAGCCAGTCAAATCGGTTGACAGCCACAAATACGAGCAAGACTTGATTGACTAGAATTCACTGAACAACAACTGTCTATCGAATTTCATTTGAGCACTAATCAGGCATACAATGTTTGAAGCTAGTTCCAAGCAGTATTGAAGGGAACATCCTAGAAGCATATTTAACCCGTATGTGGCAAATAGGACAAACCAAGCACTCCATTGTTTAGTATCAGTCAACACTACTAATTTTCTATAAATATAATAGTAAACTTGGGCACTGGGGTAAAATGTCATTCCATTTTTATTGATTTATTAGATTTACCATAATTTTTGCCCATAGTCATATTAAGATAAGTACACGACTTTGAGACATTCTCTCCTTACCGCCTCTGTGATGTGGGTAGCATGACTTTCCAGGTGCTGAGTCATTCCTTTTGCATGTGTTAAGCGAAAATTTAGTTATCAATCTCTTCACCGTGTTATGTTAGTTTTAAGGTTTTAATTCTGTCCCATCACTCTGTTTGTTGTGTGTAAAAATTGGTACACTCTTAGTAAGGTAAAGAATTTAGAAAAAAGCTCAACCATAAGCATGCGACTATACACAACCACACAATATGGATGGGATGGATGGATAGATGTATATCCTAAATCTAACATAGGAGGGTGGAGGGAGGGATTGATAACCTTAATCTTTGTTTATTGAATCAACACGTAATACATGCAACAGGAATGACTCAGCACCTGTTGTGGATGTATTGAAAATCTAACTACCCATGTCACAAATGTGTCGAGGGTATTAGGTCTATGTAGAGGATATCTCAAAGCTGTGTGGTTATCTTGATATGAAGGTGGACAATAAATAATTTCCGAAACGTAATCCAGTGAACAATACTGTTCTACTGTGTGACAAATCTAATAAATCAATAAAAATGGACTCACTAATTTCCTACTTTTCGGATTTAGTTATATTAATCTTGGTGGCTAGAAGAGGAAGCCAGGACACACGTTTCATCCCACTTGGGATTCGTCAGCTGAGTGTGTCTGCACCTTAGTGAGTGATTTTGTTCCCACTGGGGCTTGAACCCAGTACCCATCGCTTCAAACGCCAGAGCGTCGTCCACTAAGCCACCGGGGCATGATAGCCACGCCTTGTGCAACGAGTGTCAATTGCTGTTATGATACTTGTAATTCCCCCTCGCTATACAGGGCCGAATCTTTTGACCTCTGATGGGGTCTTATGCGGATGTCTCATAACAACAACTGATACCCGTTGGACAAGAGGTGGCTTTCGTGTCTCAGTGGCTTAGTAGGTAACGCTTTGGAGTTTGGAGCTATAGGTGCTGTGTTCGAGCCTCGTTGGGGACAACACCAATCATTAGGATGTAGGTACGTCCGCCTGACGAACTTCAAATGGGACGAAACGTGCCTCCTGGATTCCTCTGCTAGTCACCAAGATAAATAAAACACCATGAACATTCAGCAGTATTGAGGTATCCGCATAGGAGCCCATATGCCAACAGAGGTGGAGTAATTCGGCTCTATATAGCAACGGGGTTTAATTTAGTTTATGATAACTATCGAAACTCAGGACCACTTTCAAATTGCCATCCATTTGCTGGTAAAATGGTTAATGTCCAACTCAGAAAACTCCAGCGGTCATCGAAGCTTCCAGCAAAAGGCAGTTTTGTGCCTGAAGGACTGAAATTGCACTGTATGTGTATAAAAGTAGCCGACTAGCCATAGACTAACTTTCAGCGAACATATGACACACTTAGGTGGCTAGATGGACTTTTTATTTTGTTTTTAGACTTAACAGATTTTGACCACATCTCATGTTTACACTGGGTCGTTCGATATTTACTCAACATCCCTACCGCAGAATAGAAACATCACCCAATTTTCGGTGAACTAAGGTGCTAGTCCTTATAACTTCGCCTCCGAGACTTGCATACCCATATATGCTTGCACAGACATGAACAGAATGATGTCGATACTACAAAAAAGAGATAAGCATTTAAACATTTCGAAAGATTCATTCTTATAGGCGTGATTTATCTCTTGAACAATTTTACTTGCTCGTAAATCCTTTTGATAAAATCTTCGAGTGATTTCATTTGTGAAGGAAAGTGGCACCAGATTTTTGATCTGAAATAAAACGTAATAAATAAAAGGTGAAGTAGGCATTAATTACATCTAGATAAACGACAAAATTCCATACTGGTAAGCAATAAAAGTTCAGAAACCTAGGACAGCTAATTGACATCAGGATTCATTTGGGTGGGATAAGAAATTGTTCTGCACTGGCGTTCCACTACAATTCAGTGCAGCGCATTTTCAAGTTTATATTTTTACGGTGAGACGTTTGAAATTTCCCAAGAAGAGTAAATCACTTGTCTACAGAAAATTATTTCATGCCACCAAAGAAAATTTTCGAATTCTCACGTCCACTAAGCGTTGAACGGTAGCGGTGAAATATCTGAATTTAGCTTAAATTAGAAAACCTTAGGTATTATGCTTACCGTGAAGTCTGAGAGATTTTTAAAATGAAACTTAGTAGCTGTCCAGCAAAATTTTGTTCAACTGAAATTAATTTAAGATGAAATACTTTTTTACATTTATATAGGGTTTCAAGCTAAATAAATGACGGTGCAACGTGTCGTAGCTGTAATCCATAAACCTATTTTCACTGCTATACTACCCTACAGCATACTAAGGAGACTTCAAGGGGAGAATCAACAAAAATTCAATTTCAATTAATTTCTTACCTTGTTCACCGTGTATCCAGTGACAAGAATTAACATAATATTCATCGTGACAAGGCAGAAACTTGATAAACCCACATACAGGAATTCCAGAGGAGCATTACAATGGTTTCGCATATAAATAAATTCATACTGTCGAATCCATGGATATGTACAATAATGTAGAGTAGTTGTCAGATTCGATTTCTCATCTGTTACACTTTCATACTAGAAAAGGTGTAAATCAAATGTTTAAGCAATGGAAATATGACTGATTCTTTATGTATAAAAGTGCTTAATATAAAGGACTGGTAACATATACCACCAAACTATGAAGTTCGCTTTGCTCAAAGTTAAATAACATGAATGGCTATCAACGATCTGAAAAGAGGTTATTCTCTTCCGAACACATTTTCAAGCCCTGTTCTAGAGTAAGCCGATCAAATACTTGAACGCATGGTCATATTGTCTTTCACAGCCCCGGTAGTGTACCCCCTTAAAATTACCTAGTGAGTCAAATAATTTTTTTTCTAAAAGAAGGCTCAGGTTCACTGCTAACGAAGAGTGAAAGCATTGGTTATTTTAAGATTGGCGTGAATTAGTTACTGGATGGTCCTGATATAACTGTCAAATCCAAACTACACAGCAGTAATCAAAGTTTATTGTCAAGTTTGCAGTGTCACTACTATGGTGGACTATGTTTAGGTGTTAGATGTTAGGAGTTAACACATAAGAAAACATACACCTAGGTTTCTTGATGGTTAGTAAGGTACATTTCTCATGATTAGAACATTCGTCTCCCAGTGTTGCAGTCAGGTCGCCTGAACTCAAAGATGAACTAAATACATAATTGCTGTGTACAAATTCCTCTACTTTTCCACGTTCTTAATATCTCTTCTATTTTGTTCGGAAGTATCATTTTTAAAATGTTCGTTGCTCCCAACTTATTGAATGTATTCATACCAAAATGTCATCTGTAACTCTACTACCTTGGGTAAAACGTCTTTTGTGTGGTACTATCTTGCCTAAGTTGGATGGCTAAGTTGTGAGGCTTTCACTGTTGTTCAATATGACATCATCAATGCAGTCTTCAGAAAGAAGTGAGTTGGGAGATTTTCTTCACAAGTGGCTTAGTAGCTCGTCTCGTTAACTTAGGGTGTGGTTGGTTGATTCTTCTGAAATCTTTCAGTTGTCTCCTTAAGTATTTCAGTTGACCACCCTGTTGTCGGGATGTTTCACCTTCTTGTTGTTTCATCTATCGCTAATTGGTTGATAGATTGGGTCAGGATGAATGTGTATGGTGATGGCTGAGTGACATGAGTGTCATGCCTCTTTGCATCTCCTCTATCCAGGATTTTCACATTTTCCAAGTCAAATTCATATCCACAATTGTCTGTGTGTATTGATAAGAGCCAGGGTACATCACTAATTTTCACTGCTAGTTGATATACATGTAGACAGACACAAAGTGGGTAACCACTCTGTCCGATATAGTGTTTCTCACAGTTTATTTTGTAGATAACATTCGACTTGTTTTTCTTTGCTATTGTCTTCTGGATTGCTTAATGTGAGCTACACCGATTCCAAATAACTTCGGAAACGTTCTGTATGTCAGGTGTGACAAGCCGTTTGTTGGTTCCCATGGTTAACTTTTCGTAGACAGTCAATTTAATAAACATCTTTTGATGAGGTTGCATGCATAGCTGTTCTTTTGAAAAACAATCACTAAGTAGTTTTTATTCTTTCCTCGCACTTTCGGATAGTGTTTTTATACAACTGATTCTGTGGATTGTAGAATTGTTGCTACTGTAGTTGAGGACTTGATTTTCTGTATACTTCAGTTTCTAACTTACCGGAATGCTTTCAAGTGATTAGAACACCAGCAGCTGGGAATGTGATGTCATCGATAACTTTGCTCATTAATCTGTAGGCGAATTGCAAAATGCTTGAGAATTTCAAGTCATCGAAAGGAGTAAAATATCAGTGGGGGTGGGTTTATTACTTTTTTTACTTGTTTAAAATATTATTTGTGAGGTAGATATCAATGACTTTAAATAATCAATAAGGATACAACAAATGGCATTCTGGTTGGAAAGCGTAATTGTTTGGACAATAGGTAAACAGTTAACAAGTATTCGGATGTAGACGACCACCCTATTATATGGATTTAAGGTGCTGTTATCTGCCCTGATAATCAAGTTGGTTAATTTCACATAATTAAATTCTATGAAGCAATCTTGGAGGTTAGAAAATGTACTAAAGAGCATTTAAACCACATATAGAAGTACTTTCTTTAGAAGAACATCCATCCTTTCACACACAGTTTGGTGACTATATTACAGCTAACTGTATCACAAATCATTCTAAGATAAACTTTTGATAGGTGTTTCCTATAATTCAGTTAGTAATCTCTCTTCAACTCATGTCTGATCCACTTGTTCCAATCTATCTGTTCTTGTATAAGTGTTAATATGTTTCGATAGACGGCTGATTGCTGATAGGAACAACAGGAGTACAAACACGAGTTAGAAAGTGTTAAAATAAAAAGAAAAGCAAACTATGTTTTTACACACGAGTAAATGTTATATATATACATACCTCACGTTTCTCCCCGGTGGAGATGGCCAAAAGAGATAGTAGTAACAAATGACCCTGAAAATTGAAAAGAAAAGGGTAGAACGTGGTAAGTGAGAGAACCAGTTTTCTTTTTTTCTTTTTTAACGAATAAACATTCACATTACAGAGTATGGTAGAATCAAATGAGTTGAAATTGTTGTCAATAGATTTTAGACAGTTGTTGTCAATAACAACTAACTTATAGCTAACAAACGTAAGTACTTGAAAGACAAGCAAGGCCTAACATAAATGAATAATTTTCTCCTAGTCGTAAACATTGTAACAGTTTATTGTTTTGATGTGGTTGTGTTCTGTGAGCTCAGCTTAGAGCTTGATCTACAAATATTCTCCATCATCTCAGTTTATTGTTTTTGCCAACTCAAGAACTAATAATGACTGAAAAACTCAACATGCTTCACTTGTTTCGATGAAATATAAATTTACATTGAACGGAGAGTGCACTCTAGCAAGTCCATGAGTTGTAATATTTTAAATTTCATAGCAACACAGATTCGAGTCTTAGTAGGAACAACATCAGTCACTGGGAGGCAGGTACATTCAGCTGACGAGTCCTAAATAGGACGAAGTGAACCTTATTGATTCCACTACTATCCCCTATCCATCGTTAATATGAATCGAAACGACATAAAATATCGAGACATCCGTGCAAGAGCCCATATGTCTATGAAGACCGACCAATTTGGTTCGATCAACGGAGGAATAATACAAATACCAACATAAATACTGTCAGATAGTTCAATACATAAGTAGCTCTATCACTGGTGTTTTCACAAAAGATATTGGTGTAAATAATAAGTACTATGAACGACTGAAGTTTCATTCAGCCTTAGTATTTAACTTCATAAACCTTTATAGACTTCATTCATGTGGTTAAAAAGGATAAGAATCAGACATGCCAACTGCATTTTCTTCCGACAACAACTGGAAACCATACACTTTGCTTTTAACACACAAACCAGTGAGGCTGATGGTGTAAGTCTTCAACTTCTTCCTATCAGATAATATTACTAACTAAACTTATTACCGACCATTATGATAAAAGACATGGTTGATGTGACAGCGTTCATTTTTCATCAAAAGGTGGCAGATATATGCATGCTTGTGAGCGGTGCGCTGAAGATGATGTCTCCATTTAGTTCGAAAGACACATGCATCAAGACGTTATCTTACAGGGACACGCGACCATCCGAGAAAGTTATGGAATAATGATCTGAATCGATTGTGTAGTTAAGAGTAGGTGTGTTAATTGAAACAGACGCGGTAGCGGAAATGGCTGATGACAGATCCTGGTTGATATGGTGGTAGGACTAAACTTCAGTGACTGTTAATCATGCCTAAGTATCCATTGTCCATTCGAAATTAAGAATACGAGGGGCAACGTAATTATTCAGGAAAATGCTACTTTATTGATAATTTATAAATCTGTTTTATGTGAGAAATAAAGGTATTAAGATTTTCAATAAGTTTATCATCTCTGATTCTATGTCGTTGTCTGCATTGTCAGTCATTCATATGACACAATATCATCTCCTGTCATGGTCCCGTTAATCGTCTTAAGAACTTTCTACACGACACCATATATTTTCAACGTTGCATGTGGGCAGTCCAGTTGTCCGGTCCACGAAGTGTTTCTTGTGAACAGTAGTTTGATTGGAGTAACCCATTTCAGATAGAGGCGTATAAAACTTCCAAGGATCTGCGTATATTAATATACCATATTTTTGGTACCCAGTGCCACACATTTTTATATAAGTACTAGGATAGATCTTTTTGATCTGTCCTTTACTCACTAAAAATGTCTTTTCATTGCATTTCAGTTGTATATACCAAGAATCTGTGGTTCACCAAGACATATGTATTTTACTTATCTAGTCCTGTTTAAAACATCCTCCTAGGTTATATTTACGTTTCTGAACAACACACTAATTTATTTCAACCACATTATCTACTCCACCAAATTTCATATCCAACATGCAACGTATTCGATGTTAAAATTCGTAGTTTCTGCAGTGTCAAAAACACGGTAAACGGACGTAACGAGTGACCTTGAATAAGACTTGTCCATCATGAGTGGTTTCGTCAGGGTTTCTCGTCATTAAAGTTTAGTTCTACTGATATGGCCACAACCTTAAAGCGCTAGATAGCTCCTTATTTTAAACATATCTCTTACTTTATTATTTTCTACTTTGTCTACCTGCTTATTCCTGTTGTTGATCTTTTTGGCTCTTAACGTTTTTAAAGTATAAGGTTAAGTGCTAAGGTAGTTATTGGATTAAATGAACTGAAAAAAGGGCATATCTTAGTTACGAATCCGGAAGAGTATAATTACAGTTTAAATAGAAAATTTATCTTCAAATACCAATTCACTCACCTATGGAGAATACTCTAAGGAAACCTTTCGGCCTGTATTTTATGAAGTATAAATGAATAATATTCATGGCAATATTCTTCACAGAATGACATCATTTGAAGAACCTTTAGAAACCCCGCAGCACTGAGCAGCTGTTTCGTTGTAGCATCGAAGTCCTCAGAAGTACGCACCCAAGACCCAGCTAAGGATCGAAATCAGAGCCTTCAGATTTCACAGAGCAAATGGGTCGGTGTTCCTACTACTTTCATTTGCCATATAGCGTAACTATCCACCAAGGTCTTCACTTGGCATCCGCTTACCTTTCGACTGGTTCACCCCATAAGTCGCGGCTTCTCATTATAATTTCGTGATATCCATCTGGAAGCATGTCACTAATGACCACTGTGCAGTAATGTACTTTGAGGTTAACGGAAATTTACTGATTTTAAGTTGGTTGTCACCATAAAGTGACCTTGGTTGGAAAAACACTGTAAACCTGAGAGCACTGGATAGCTATCTCGTTCCAGTATAGGACTCTTCAGCAGAGCTTACCCCACCACATGACAAGCTTCGAGAGGTGATTCCTACAGTTCAAACAAGAAGTCGTAGACGGTGGGGCAAACTGAGTGGATGTGAGGACAAATACCCAACGATGAAATTGTGTGATGGTCACACCATATCGTGAACTGACAGGAGTAGGAAATATGGACCATTGGATTCCGATGCAGTGACTCAATGGTAACGTGCTGGTTATGGAAGCTGAAGGTTGTTGGTTTGATTGCTGTTGGATGAGGTCATGGGTGGACATTGTTGAGGAGTTCCATGCTATGAGGAAACAGCCGTCCAGTGCTCTCAGTTTTCCAATGTTTCTCAAAATGATGTCAGTCCGTGATAAATATTACCTTAGAAATAACGTCCTCACTAATTTCAAAACGAAACACATTTGATTGACTTAATGGGTGAATAACAGCGCAAGGTTTATCAGTTTATCCGATGAATAGGAGTAAAATCTTGAAAACCTAGGTGAAGATTCGTAAGAAAGGTGTTTAATCTGCAAGTATGCTAATTATCGATAATGTCAACCTCGTCGTGAATGAGGCTACCCCAGAACCTGAAAATCATGTGCAATAAAGAAATGTTCAGAAAATCCCAAAAGAATATGGTACATAGCTACTAACAGACGTGGAAATCATTAATAAGTTACATAAGGAGTCATTTTTCCTATTGAAAGATAAATTTGGTATCTACATCCCTAATTAGCCAGCATGTTAGCAGGAAAAAGACCACACATTTGACAATATCATCAAGAAATCTTCCAACCCAACTTATCTCACCAAATAACTCCCAGGAGTAATAGAAAAATACTTTTTCAAATAATCGCTCAATGCACCATAAAGCTGACATTGATAAAGTCACCCAACATGACAACAAAACATTCACAATCACATAATGAGAGATAAACACTACTTGAAGTTGTTGCTGTCATTTTGCACTGTTAACATTTTTGACTACGCAACCATCTATGACTGATACAGTTCTAAATTCAAAGTTATGGTGAACAATTGAAGAGACCTCCCAATCCAACCAGGTATGAACTAATCTCAGTATACACTAACTTTTTGAATTTATCTTTCCCACACTTGAAAGAAGTATTTAAGCAGGGTAGGTGGTCTCCTAGGTGAATTCTTTTCGGTGTTAAATGTCACTCGTGATGAAACTCAATAAAAACTGCAAATCACGCTTCCTTTAACTGTTCATCTGGAATGTTTAGATTCAAATGAGCAGAAACAAAAATTAGCCTAGAATAATATGTATCTGTTTTATATCATTTCAGTGGTTTTCGTCAGCTGCCAACAACCCATAATATTTACAAGATTACAAATTTCAATAAAATACCAGCATACTTCACTTCAGTGAATACAATCAAAGCACAACAACGACACAGCGAAGTATTGAAATCGTGCGAATTATTGTAATGAGTAGAACTCAATGGATAAAAATTGAGGTTTGGTGTGAATTGAAAATCTAATGAAAGGGTGAGGATGCAATCAATAAAGTAAGAGGTTGAGAAAAAGATTAGGTTATCAGAGTAGTTGAAGATTGATGATAGATTTCTTATGAACATACAGGACTTGTTTCTGGTATTTAATCGCAATGGCTTCAGCAAAGCAAGAAAGATTTGAAAAATTCTGTTTCTTGATTATTTTGAATGATTCTAGAGTATTTATTTGATGTTCTTTATCCACTAAATGTTAATTAATTGCAGTGTTCAGAATGCTCGTTGACTTCTCGGGACATATTCAAAATATCTTATGTCTTTGTGTAACTGGTTTGGCAGTTGAGAAATTGAGTTTCAATAGTTTAAGATTAACTGTGAAAATATCTGCCGGTATATAGGACACAATGAACTATCCACTGCCACTCTGTCAACTTGACAATATAGGATATTGTCAAACTGGAAATGAATACTCTTCAAACATACTGAGAGAAGCTTCTTGAATTCAGTTGTTGGTAAAGGAGATTCGCGCGTTGACAGACATTGATAGTTTCATGAAGAAGTAGTTGTATGAATAAGGAAGTAACATCAAAGGATACCATAGACTAGATATTAAATTGACGTACCGTTTTGACAGAATGGTCCATTTAACCAATTGACGAAGCATTGAAATCAAATACTAGAAACAAGTCCTGTATGTTCATAAGAAATCTATCATCAATCTTCAACTACTCTGATAACCTAATCTTTTTCTCAACCTCTTACTTTATTGATTGCATCCTCACCCTTTCATTAGATTTTCAATTCACACCAAACCTCAATTTTTATCCATTGAGTTCTACTCATTACAACATTTTGTTTCCCGATTACTACTAACTCATCCACTCACTGACTTCCACAATCTCTTGTTCTAAATTCCACAGTATTCGTTTTTCTGTCCCCATCTAATGTTTTTGAGATTTTTCGTTATAATATATATATATATTGCTCATTAGTGACTTGCTTCCAGATGGATATCAGGAAGTTCTAATGAGAAGCCGTGACCTGTGGGGTCAACTAGTCGGAAGTGGAGTGGATGCTATCTGAAGACCTTGGGTGACAGTCGCGCTATGTTATGAATTGACAGGAGTTAGAAATTGTGAACCATTGGGAAACCGACCCGGTGGCTGAATGGTTAAAGCGTTCGCTATGAAACCTGAAGGTGCTGAGTTCGATCTGTGGCCGGGTCGTGGGTGTGCATTGCTGAGGAGTCCCGTACTAGGACGAAATAGCTGTCCAGTGCTCCCAGGTTCTCAATGGTTTCCCAACTAATGTCAGTACATGATGAATACTACTTCTACATATATATATATATATATATATATATATATATATATATATATATATGACGTTATTACAGGACATTTAGATTTCATATATTTCAATTCGGACAATTTGCATACTTCACTATGTCGTTGTCGTGCTTTGATTGTATTCACTGAAGTGAAGTATGCTGGTATTTTATTGAAATTTGTAATCTTGTAAATATTATGGGTTGTTGGCAGCTGACGAAAACCACTGAAATGATATAAGACAGATACATATTATTCTGCTGTATTGTTTGAACTTAATCTTTGAAAGTTGGTAAAACAAAATGTGTATGAAAGTTTCCATAATATATTTAAACTGTTGAAAGAATGGAAATAAAATTTTTTTGTGCGTATATTTTGTGGGTTCAAGTATGGAAGACTAATTTCGGTACTAGGTGTTCAAATGTTGTTGGCAGGAAGCGTTATATTATCTAGGTTTCTTGTTTGTTTATACTGATTCGCAAAGTTTGTCCAGAACTTTAGGGGATCGATTTTATTTCAGAGCTTAGAAATTGAGTTACTTCGTGGTGGTGTCAAAAACTTGACCAGTACGATAATTAGTTCGTAAGTGGCGACTGAATCATATACAAAAATTGGTCACAGGTTGATGGCTGACAGATTTGTGAAGCCTCAAGAACTGGTGAGTATAAAAATGCCTGAAACATAAGTTGGAAGCTTTCTGTCGATTAGCTAGTAACATTCAACACTGAACACAAGGAGTCACAGTGTCACATGGCTTAGCCTAGCGATGGCATCGCAAACTTGATTGACAAACGTCGAGTAGTGTTTATGACTTTTCGGATGTGTTGCTTTCATTCTAGTAACTTATTTGTTGATATAAATTGAGGCGCTTGAATTAAGGGGAAATTGGAATATCTTTGTGTTTTATTCATCACACAAGGTGATCAGTGAGAATTCATTTTAGAGGTTAGTAGGATTTTTATTGATTTCAAACCTCCAAAGTGAATTACTACTCAGCGGTCATCAGGGACTTACTTCCAGTTGGGATTCATCGAACTTGTTATAAGAAGTAGTAACCTGTGGGGAAAACCGAGTTGGATATAAGGACAAATACTTAGCAACGGTTTGGATGATGTTTGTGCTACATCACTAATTAACTGAGGTAGGAAAATGTAAAATATAAGATTCTCAACCAGTGGCTCAATGGTAAAGTGTTCACCGTAAAACCTGGTGGTTGCGGGCTCATTCACCGTCGTGGTCATGAGTGCAAACAACTGAGGAGTGGCACAATTTAGCAAAACCGCTATCTGATCCTCATAGGTTTCCAATATTTCTGCAACTGATATTAGTGCATGATCAATACAGTTTCGAAATTAAAATCCCCTTTAACCTCAGAATATATTACTGTGTTGTGCTCGTTAGTGACGTGGTTTCAGGTGGATATCACGAAATTGTAATGAGAAGTCATTGTCTGTCAGTTTAACCAGTTGGAAGGTTAGCGCATGCCAAGTGAAGACCTTGGTGGATAGTTGAGCTATGTCGCGAATTGACAGAAGTTGGAAACTGCGAACCATTGAACTCCGACTCGCTGTCTGAATGGTTAACGCATTCGCCATGACATCTGAAGGTCCTGAGTCTGGTTGCTGGTGGGGTCGTGTTGTGGGTGTGTACTGCTGAGGAGTCCCATAGTAGACCGAAAAAACTGTCTAGTGCTCCCAGGTTTTCAAAGGTTCTCTAGCTCATGTTAGTCAGTGGTGAATATATTAACTTGAGATCGGTTCGAAGATAGTCCAACTGCCCTGATTTAGTGATTGTAGAGACAGTAAACTCTAGGATCAGAGGGAAAGGAATTAGGAGTGATTCATTTTTCTAAGCGTTTCATTATCGACAGACAGGAAGATATTTATTCACTTTAATTTTAATCAATAAAATGCATTTCCTGATCAATTTTGAATCACTTCCCAGTGTACTAAAATTTTTGTCCAAGTTGGTGACTAACATAATCACTACAACCGATTCTAACAGTAGTAGTGATAGTGAGATCATTCAATGTAACTATAGATAATTAAATGTGTATTTTTAACCGCCTGGTTGATTTTGAAGGGAAAACTTCATCTGGACTAAAACCGGAAAATCTTGGATCACAGATTCATTACTTTACGAGATAATCTGTTTAACTCAGTCTTAAATCCCATTCAAATGGCAGCTGAAAATTAACAAAAGTAATAAACATCCATATTTATATATATGAGCTAAAGCTAACTTACACAGTTAACTGCTGGTGGCAGCAATGAAAGCGAAATGGCATTTCCAATCAATGCTGATAGTCGTTTACTCAGTATAGCAAAAGAAACACTGACACCAGAGAATGCTGCAACAAGCATAGAACCAATAAAAGACCTTAATTCGCCTCTAAAAGATTAGATCAAAATAAAAAGCAACCAGAGATATGTTAGAATTTTACACCTTATGGGTTTTCCATTGAACAACTTCCCTGAGAGGTATATTTACTGAAATAGTGATGAGTATTTGTAACCCAGGTGGATGATCTTGGTTGTATTGTGTTCTTTGAGCTGAGTTGTTTGGTCGTCGAGCTTTCATTGTCTTTCTGGATGATATCATCATCAAAAAGGATGATATAGAAAACACCCATAGTTTGATCAACAAGGTTTTAAATGACATCAAATTAACAATGGAGAAGCAGTCGATCAACCAACTACCAGTAATGGATGTTTTAGTCAGTAGAATAAATATAGGAAAACTGGAAACCCAAGTGTACAGGAAGCCAACGCACACTAATCAAACCTTCAACTACACTTGCAACAACCCTACAACATACAAAATTAGTTGTATGCAGACACTTTTGAAAAGAGTGCGAACAAATTGTATTACAACAACTTCATGGAGAGATAAAGAAAATTACTTGATGTCCATCCTAGAGAAGAACAGCTACCCACGAAACTATATCACAAGATATCTATCCCGTTCATCACTAACTACAAAGTCATCCACAGAAATCAACAAACTCATCATCCTACCGTACATAGAGAATATATCAGAGATCACGACAAGATTACTGAGATCACTTTGAATTAGTGTGGCTCATAAACCAACAAATTCCCTCCAACCATTATTGTGCAGCCGAAAGGATGCAGCAGCCATAGAAGACAGGCCAAATATCATTTAAAAATCAACTGCAATAACTGTAGTCAACACTACATTGGATGGAGTGGTCGCCATCTTCGCTTTCTTTTACATGAACACCAATTGGCTATTATATGTCACAACATCTCATCGCTCGTTTGAATGCACGTGGATAACTATGGAGGTGAATTCAATCTCGACAATGTAGAAATCTTGAACAGAGGAAGGACAAAGGATATCATAGAATCCTTAGAAGTTTGGCATTCAGGTCAGTTAGCGATCATTAGATGTATAGATATAGACCTAATCAGTCAGTCTATGAGAAAAACACTGAGAAATAGAAAGGTCATAGGTCAAGCAGAGGAACCGCCAACAAGAAAATCTGTACAGTCAATGACACAATCAAAGGAAATAACCAGTGACTAAGTACTTCGTCAGTGCAAACTACTGAATAACTCACAGGGAGATATTGACAGCTTACTGCATACTGGAGTTAGTGCCGATGATGCCATCTACAAAAACGATGAAAGCTCCACGATTAAATAACTCAGGTTAGAGTACACAATGCAATTAGGATATTTATAGAAGTCGATATATCGTAATTTATGACATATACGCAAATTTTGTGTTGACAAGGGAAGTAATATCGCAATTGGTGATATTCGTTCAAAAGATTTATAAGTGTAAGGGTTTTAGCAGCTAAATAAACATCCTGGTGAATAAACTCCATACTTATTTAACTCCATGGATGCGACTGTTGGAAATGGTTGGAGCCAAGGAAGTGACATCCACACTCAGAAAATTTAACTAGTTATAGAGGGTCACGATTTGCATGGTATTTATTACACTATACTCTTACTTAACAGTGAAAAACTCAAACGACAAACTGATCGATGGTGAGCACTGAGGGTCAGACGAATACATCAGTTAGCTTGTAATGATCACTTAGTATACAATAACTTCTCCCCGGATTATTTGAGAAGCCCTGATGCATAGTGAGAGCATAAACGCTTAATAGAGAAAGGTCGTGAAACAACAATTGCAGAACTAGGGAGTTATAAAACCTTATGAACACAGGACATAGGGTTTTGGTTTGATATCATTGCTGATAAACAACGATATTACCTGAGTTGCTTCGATGTTATAGCTTGCAGATCTTCGTCGCTGGCTGGACTGAATTGATCAACCGTTATTAGTATGTGAACTCCTGTAAGGATACTCGATATTCTCGGCAGTTTCAGTTTCGATAATAATGACGGATATTGGCTATCAGTGGAATCTAGGACGCGCATTTCGTTTTATTCGGAACTCGCCAGCTGGATGTATCTATCTTCCAGTAAGCGATGTTGTTCCCACCAAGACTCAGAAATAAGAAGAAACTCACGTCCTAGATTCCACTGATAGCCACTATTTGTTATTAGTATCAAAACTAACAATACCGGAAATATCAAGGTATCCTCACAGAAGCTCATATACTAATAAGGGTTGATCGATTTGGTCCAATCAGCGACAAAGATTTATAAGCTATACTATATCCATCACACAGGGAATGGTTATCGTGGCTCAATGGTGTAGTTAATAACACTTTGGCACTTGATACAGTTCGTCCTGGGAACAACGTCAGGCAGCTGACGAGTCCCAAACAGGAAGAAACATAGGTCTTCGATTCCACTGTTAGCCACTATCCATCGCGAACGCCTCAGTTGTTGTTCGATATTTAGGATACCATGCTTCACAACTCAATAATAAAGGACGCCTTCATGATAACGACCAATTGCATAGACATAATTTGTTACTCTTTCAGTGGGGAATTTTAATCCTCATTGAATTCATAGTTATATTTTCAAAATTATGTTTGCATTCTAAAATTTACCAAAGCATATGAGATTGTTGATGAGAGGAAGAAATTCTGATAGAAGCATAACATTTTCAGAAAGTTCCGGTCGGGAGTGCTTCCAAAATGCCTTATATATTTGTCAGTTGTTGACCTTACATACTCTCCTACTCTTAAAACGCAGTACAGACGCTAGGCTGAGTTGTACAAGGTGGCTAAGGTAACCGATAACAATTCATAACAAGATTGAAAATAATCTAAATTAATAAGTTTGCCTGTGGCTTTATTTTCTTCATTTATTGACTATCCAGTAAAACCGATAATTTTTAGACTATTGGATATGTGATACTGCTGCTAACAGTAGAGTGAGAGCTTCATCAAAACCAAGTTGAAAGTAATTAAAGAAGAGAAACAATGATATTAGAGTATGTAGGGTAGACTAACAAATGTTATTAAAGTGTTGTTAAACTACAAAGAAGATAAAGTATGTTTGTGACCGGTTTTGAGCCAAGTCAAAAAATTACCCATTACTGATTTTTAACATCTCGAGGACAACAGAAAGACAACCTACATCTTCATTTACTACTCTGAACAACAACCAGTGACTTAATGAACTGATGCTACATCTTAATTTGATCCATTTTTTTTTTCAATCTAATCCTACTTGATTCTATCTGGAGGTTTGTGGAGGTTTATTAATTGACTTCAGGTTGGAATTCACCATGAACTGACATCATTTGGAGGAACATTGGAAATTTAGGAGCACCGAACAGTTGTCTCGTCCTAGTACGAGACTTCTCAGCAGTGCTCACCCATGACCACACCAGGGATCGAACCCAGGGCCTTCAGGTTCCATGACCAGCACGTTACCATTGAGCCACTGGATCGGAATCCAGTGTTCCCAGGTTTCTAATGTTCCTGCAACTGTTGTCAGTACATAATGAATTCCAATCCAAAACCAATTGATAAACCTCCACAAACCTATAGATAGGATTAATCTAACGCTCATTGGTGACTAGCTTCGACAGGTGGTTCCTGAAGTTCTGATGAGAAGTCGTGACCAGTGGAGTCAACCAAGTCGAGCTTGAAGACAATTACTTAACGACGACATTGGGTAATGGTTGCGCTATATCGTGAGCTGACAGAAGTAGGAAGTGTGGGCCATTAGATTCCGGCCCAGTGGTTAAATGGTAGCATGCTGGCCACGAGACATCTGTCCAGTGCTCCCGCGTTTTCAATGTCCCTCCAACTGACGTCAGTCTATGATGAATTTTAACTTATAATCCTACTTGGGTTAAATAAGGTCGTATCCAAGTCACTACTTATATTTATCACCTGTCTAAACAAAAATTTAGTATTTTCACCTTCCAGATGAGCATAAAGATGCTCTGCAGCTAATTCTTTCTTGTTTTCATTCAGGTGCAGACACACAAGTGTTCATGATCAGATTACAAGTAGGCACTCCAAAAAGAGCACCAAAAGTGCATCGATCCTATCCGACGGTGATTCAGAGATATGGAACAAGAAACTTTTACAGCTAAATAAGTTAACTGTATTGGATAGGAAAATATCCAGGTTAAAATACACAAATTTTTTGAGAAAACAATATTCCTGATGGTTTTTGCTACGGGTTATACATTCAACTCATTTCTTGTAACAGATATTTACAACAAAGTCAACTCATTCTTCCTTTCTAAATCAATAAGAACTGAGTAGCTTTTTCAAACACTTTCATTAGCCCGTGACTTTGTTGGTGGAGTCCTACCGTTCACTATTCAATAAAGTATACTGTAAAGCCAAGTCGCATAATATAATGGCTACAGTGAAGACACAAGTGATTGAATTTAGTAAACTTTCAAGGCTGAACACAATACACCACACTTTTGGTTTTCTATAACCCGTGATTTGTTTACCTAATTATAGAGACTTCTAGTCTCACTGTACTGTTGTTATCAGTAAAAGACGGTTTATCACCGGCTAATACATCAAATTTTGAATGTGCACATCGAAAATGTGAGCATAGACTCACTCCATATCACAAGAGATTGACGAAGGCATCACGGTGATAATGCTTGATTACCGAAATTTATCATCACTAGAAACCCAGATACAATATGGACCATATAGTCACACAATTGAAGATACTATTTACTGCACCTGAATAGCTCCATGAAGGTGTCGCAACTAGGTTGTAAGCTCTACAGTATTACCATCAGTTAGCTTCGACCCATGGCACAAATGTTACATTTAATGTCACAAGATAATGGTTACTTCTTAGACAAATAATTCTATACTTTTATGTCTGAAACCAAAAGTTAACTTATTTCGCTTGACTATAGGTAATAATGTTTTATAATCAAAGTCTTATCAGTCAGAATGATCATCCTTCATAAATGCAAAGGTAATAAAGAAAACAGTTCATCAGGATAATGCTGATGAGTTAAGCAAGGAACAGGATTTTTAATAGCTGCTTACAAGTGGAACTGTTGTACTGTTGTACTTTTATCCTAGGATTGAATATTTAAAGTCATTAAAATATACTCATCTTGGTTATGTGTGCCAAAAATGTGAAGATTACCACTGAAAGGCGGAATAATGATGGTTCTTCGTAATTTCCCTTGTTTGTTCTTTTGGTAATCAGTCTGTTTTTAAAAAAAATGTAGTAGAGATGTTGCCCAGTAGGTCATCAGCCTATTAATTTGGTTACCTTTGTAGTCAATGAATGGAGTGCCCAGTTGTCAATACTTCATTGAAAAGTACTTCAGTCATAATATTCTCTTAGAGTAGCTCACTGTATTCCTTCGAAAACTGAAAAATTATGTACGACTAGGAATTATTAGCCTTTAGGTAATCCAACTAACTAATAGGATGATTTGTCAACCCGTTTCGTAGTGAAGTTGTGCTTAATCTTCTTATCAGCATCAAACTGAAGTAGGTTTAGTAGACAACCTGTATACTACTTAAGTTCATTGAACCCATAATGTAAAACAGATGTGCTTAGTCCATACAGATATCTGCGAAGTCACACGGACTACCTAAATACATTCTATAAATGATTATTGACACAGGATAATTAATCAACTTACTAAATAGGAAATTTCTGTTAGTTTATGTCTGGATCTTTTATTATTGTTACTTTTAAGATAATAATGATGGGTTTATTTTGAAGGGTATTTCTGGAATACTGTAACTGCATAGAATCTTCAGCATGTTATATAGCAACAATTGGACAGAAACAGTATTTATTGAATACACAATAAAATGAACTAAGCAGAAATTTCAAATTAAAGGTAATAATATTTACTTTATCTACAACTTTCTTGAAAACGCAGAGTTAATATAAGTAAACAATCAGTCACATTAGCAATTCGATTCACAATACTTAAATAACAGGAAGCTGCGTACTCATTAATTAGTTTGCTTTCAGAAACAGAAGTTGATTAACTAGTTCACTGTGACACTTTCTTTCTAGTACAGGATACAAGCTAAGTAAGGTATTGTAGAGTTATAATATTTGGTATACTCGTTCCGTGTCTTGGCTGACGACCAACACGCAGAGAGCTTTAAGTAGAGAGAATGCTGGTCATCTGATAAAATAACTCCTGCCAGATGTTTCCATGAGTTAATAGTTTGTCCACAACAGTTCCACAGTCGAAAAGTTTAGAGGTACACCACTAGTTCTGCTGACAATTTTCAAAGTTCTACGCAATATAGAAGTCTTTTTTTCAGCAACCCGCGAAATAATAAAAAGAAACAGTAAAGGTGAACACTCAAGATGCAGGAGTTTATCAAACACAAATGGAGAGGCTAAGTTATACTAAATACTCTCAGCCTACTGATATAGAAAGTTAAGCGGAAAATTCTTTTGGAAATTAGTGAGATATCAGAGAACCAGGAAAGTCCCGAAGAAAAATTCACATGAAGACCAATTACACTTGTACCATTCCCTAATGCCCAACTATCAATAGACCAGGAATTATGAGAACTAAACAGTTTACACAAGTCATGTTCGTATCTGAGACTTAAGTTTATGGTGTGACATTTTGAAGAATTAAGCACAAGACCATTGACGGAAGACGACCATCCATCCTCTAACAGTAGATAGGAAATGATTCAGTTGGGAACAATCTGCTGAAGAGGAGACAGATATGGAAACTGTTAGGTCATCAGCACATTTAATGAAATCGATACCGGCTGAAGATGGTAGGTCATGCAGAAAGGAAGAGATAAGACCAGGGGATGGACGACTCCTTGGGGAACACCAGTCACTGTATGCAATGAGGTGGAGCTCTGCCCCCTGAGAACAGTATATTGTTTCCTTTCAGAGAGATAGGAATGCAACCTGCTGATTATTCAGGACTGAGTGTGTGTCGTGGTTAGCTTGTCCAGGAAAATGTGTCTTGGGATAAAGTGAAGTGCTGAAGTGTGGTGTAAAAAGGCAGACGTGAAATACTTTGGATTTGTATGCAGATTACAAGTAGTAGTATTGTGGTATAAGACAGTGGTGGGATTCCGAGTGCTTCTTCTGCTATTATATGCGAATTGATTAGTGTTTCTGAAAGCCTTCAATGAGGTCTCGAGCACAAGTATCATTAGTTTCTCTATTATTTTCAAGAATGGAGAAGTGACTGCAATCGGACGGAATTTGTGACATGAGCCGGGAGTAGGAGTAGGCGTAGGAGTAGGTGTCCATGACTCAGGTAATGGGACTATCTTATTATGTTTCCAGGGAGCTTGTATGGTGTTTTCTGCAAACGATCTATTAAACATGTTAGCCAATGGATGGCATGAAATATAAGCACACTTCGTGAATATGAAGCTTGACAAACCACCCTAACCCAAACTGTGTAAAGGCTTATGTTAGATCTGCAGTGATTAGGATTTGGCTTTCAATACGTTGAATATTTCCTATTGATACAATTTATTCTGTAGGCTTAATGATCAATAAACATGCTTAGAAATTTAAATGCAACCAACATTACAAGTGGAGTTAAGGTCAGGTTAGAAAATAGGCCTTGTAGTTCTGTTTGTAGAATACCGAATCGCTAACTTGGACGCCACTGGTTCGAATCCCCCTGTAACCCAGGCATTCACTTAACCTTCAGTCATCACTCAGTATCAAGTACAAGTATGTATTAAGTGAAAAGAGGACAATCAATTGTGTATAGCTCTAGCTATAAGGGAAAGAGTACCAGTATATATATTTATGATTGACGTAATGTATAATCTCGAATCTAATAATGTTGTTAGTTGCACAAGCAGAAAGCAATACTTTTCACCTACCACGTGGAAACTGTGAGTTCATATTATTAACCCTAAAGTCGCTTACAACAAAAGTCACCTTGTAGATCGAATGAAGAATACTCAAGAGAATCAGAGAAATAAGTTCATACTAGAAATCGATTCTGATCATTCATTACACAAAACTCAGTGGCTGCATGGTTCAAAATCGATCACAATGATAGATGTGCATATACTTTTTGTCACCTTTGAATCCTTCAATATTTCGATTTGCTTTCGTCTATTAATTCTCTATTTTCGCACACATTCCATCGACCTGTATATAATTTCTTTTTCTTCTCTCCTTCTTTGCATGCTACGGTGAAGTAAGAAATTGAACGAACGCACTTCTTGATCAGATTCTACATTGATCTATTCTTCTGCCGATGAATAAATAATCTTTTGGTGTCATCATTCTTAAAAGTTGGGCCATGGGATTTGGAAGTAATTAGTATTCAAATCTAATGCCCGAGGATTCGGTCATGTTTTTCAATTCTTCGTGAGTAGTAGTCAAAAAATAATAGAGGCATGAAAGCAATACAAGAATTGTTAAAATATTCCATACCTCTGAAAGAAAATTTGTTTGCTGAAGGTCTTCCGATGAATAATTTTGATATCGTAGTCGTACTACTTTAAGTAGTGTAAATATTTATATGGAATTAATTAGCAGCCTGCCTAGAGTGGTTAGTTTTCTTCGAGAATACATCATAAGTTTTGAATTTAGGGAGACTGGATTAATTGTCATGTCGGACATTTTAAAAATAACTAAAGTGGCTTTCGTAAATCATGTTAAATGGTTGTAACAATATAGTCCATCGCCGTATTAGATAATAACCAACCGGAATCCAGTAACCTTTTAATTATCTCAACTAATAGTACCCATTTCAGGTTCCCGATACGATGAACTGTTAAATCTAACTGTTAACTAGGTTATAGGAAGCAGCCTAAATCGAAATCAGCACTCAAGGTCATCATTCGCCAAGGAAGTAGTTTTGAATTGCAACTTTGGTCTCGTCTTATTGTGTGAGCAGAAAAACCTTATTGGACAATTTCTTCCTTCAGCTGACAAGTGAAAATAAATATCCAACTTGTGATCCAGTGGCTTCACTTTTTTAGAGAAAACCTTATTCAAATGATGTATTGTTTGTCAAATAAAGTTATTCTCCTCACAGTCACAGACCGGTTTTTGTCTTCTAAATTTTGCGGCTCAGTGAAGTATCAGGTCTGAAGGAGAATAGTCACTATTCATATCCAGTCCAAGTATCACATCACGTGATCATTATTTGCGTGTTTATTACTATCCATTCAGTTACATCGCTAGGTTCCACTTTTCCTCTGTAGTTCTAAACTGCGGTCAGTATATGACTTCAAACTAACCGTGAAAATGAACTGCAGCCGCTCTTTATTGATTTATCTCGAAAAACTGAAAAAATATGCTTCGTTTATAAAAGATAAGCATGGCTATTGTTTAGGTTTTTTGAAAATGTTGTATGCAATGCTTGTCACTAACCTTTGAGCCATTTCACTTGTTGGATATGGTGTGACATCCTGGAAGGCGCTAATTACATGTGCAACGTAGCCAAATGTCAACCCTGTACACAGTAAAACAGGAAGGTATAGTATAGATGAGTAGCTGTCTGTCTAAAATATTCATAAATCATAACATGACGTTAATCCGTACTTGACTTTCAAGCCAGTTGGTTACCTAGGAGTTAACAAAAATACCAAGGTAAATATGGCGGTTAACGTCACCGACCACTTCAAATTCTGTATTCCATTGTGAAATTGAGAGGAAAAGAATGAAAGATAAACACTGAAGTGACTTCCCCTAATTATGCAGCGTAAAAATGAATCAAGTTTTACCAGATACCAGATCTCAAGTTGTCTAACATTAAGAGTTGATGTAAACTATAGTTCATTCTGTAATGTGGTCATCAGGCTAAGTGAATCAACATCATGGTGCACCTTGACTGATATCAGATGGTTGGAGGCAGTTAGCAGAAAGCTGTACGTTTCATGCTTGTTAGTAATCGTCAGTAAGACGCGTCTGAAACTGATTTCATTAGTTAATCTCTAGTAACCAGTCAATGCAACTATTTTAGTCGTTCAGGGGCCAATTATGGCCCGAATAGCTCAGTTGTAGCGTCTATGGATGTAGCACTGGATGACGCAGGTTTGAAACTCACCGGGAACATCAGTTCTCGCTTGTTGGTGGCTTTCGTGTCTTAGTGGTTTGGCGTTTGAAGTGATGGGTATTGTGTTCCAGTCCCAGTTGAAATAACACCGCTCACCGGGGTGGAGAGGTATATACATATGATGAGTCCCAAATAGGACGAGAAGCGCATCGTGGGTTCCCCTTCTAGTCACCAAGTAGATTACAACATGGTGGCATATTATGCTGCTTCATATTTTAAATTGGCGCGAGTAATTACAAGAGTAATGCTACAACAGAAATGATCAGTCTCACTCTTGCTGAGTCACTATGTTGACTACTCAAATGTGAAATATTTCTTGTGGTGAGTTAGTATAGTCAACACCGTTTAACGATTAGTAGAATGGACTGGGCTGACCTAGGTTTCAGTTAGATCCATCAATGCTGTTAGCGAGCATGAAGTAGGTGGTTAACTGAGATCAGATAATGCAAAAACTAGTTTTTAAGATTTTCATGCATTGCTCAAACAGAATCATATCCCCTTGCTTTAAAAATATCAATTTTTTTGGAAGGAGCATAGAAGCTGAAGTTAAGGCTGTCTACTGACTAATTTATATAGGTTTAACAGTGACCAAAGATTAAGAGATTCAATGGTTTCTCAAGTTAACAAACTCCCTGTTTTGATATCACTTCCATAGATTAAAGCATCTAAATGTACAAGAAATGACCCCAATTTTTGGAAGCGTTGAATAAACTAATGTTTCCTAGGGATGACTTTAAGGTATTTCTTAGTAAATCCAGATCAAAATCTCAACTTTGAAGTTTCATTAACAAAGAACTTGAAAAATCTGTTCATGTAAGGACTATGATATCAAAGTCCCAGGAAACTGTATTTGAAGACAGTTGCATAATGCATCATTTATAATTGTAAAACTTCTTCCATCTACTTTGTGATACACTGGCTACTCTTTCTTGATTTACATTTTATTATGAACCCAACTTCGCTACACTGCCTCTCTGTTAACATGTGAGTATTTTATAATCATGTTTTCTACCGAAATCTTAGATATTAGTTGCATTACCTTTTTTAAAAGTTAAGGTCTGTTTCTACTTCATTCCTGTTTCTGTCAGACTTTTTTATTTGTCATAAAGTATTGGCTTAAAAACATCTTGTTTCTTGACTTCACCGTTAGTTTGATTGTTTGTACAGAAGTTCATTCATTTTACAAGAGAAAGCATCTTTTGATTGGTACATATTTTATCATCTAATTAAATTATCAGTTTCACTGTATGTTAGATATATTTATATGATATCTATGAAACTGCGACAACTAAATAATGAGTAAACATTATTGCTTAGGTAATGGGTTTGGATTCATGACTTAATCGAATTGAAGATGTTGAACATTGTATCGAAGCAGCTAATAAAGATTGTGACAATGATGAAATACCATCAGGTTTTGTGATAAAGATGGAGAGATAAATAGAAGTCCTAGAAGATGCGATTTGCTTGGTTAATCTCAGCTTTCTGGTAACACAAGAATATTAAGAAAGAACTTTTTCAGGTAATGCTGCTGAAATCAGCGGAAATGCCTGACTGGCTGAAAGGCAATGGTTAAGGACCAACATTTGTGAAAATTGTGGAATCCGTTTATTCCCAAATGAGAATGTCACATAGTAGGTCTCAGTTATTTATTGCATTAAAGAGATAAGTTACTCCTAGTAGAATTAGCTTTTTAACAAAGTAAGTACCTTTTATAAAGTCCTATACTGGACCTTCGTGTTAACAACTGTTGGTTTTGATTAATAGAAAACGGTTACTCGGAGGTAGAAAGCAAAAGTATCACCTTAATTGATTCGTTCGAAACTACAGTCTACCTATCGGATTAGTGAGTTATTTCAAAATTCGTTGACGGTTTTAACTGAAGTCATAATTCTAGCAAATTCAAGAGATTTACTCAAAATGACTTACCAATCAAAACACAAATAATTAGTGAAACCGATGTATTTCTAATGCCTTTAGTTGTCATATTACGATCACGCAGATTCAGTCCAAATAAGATGCACATAATTGGATCCTATAAATGAAATGAAAAAAAGGTCATAACAGGTAGGATCTATTTGACACCAGTCTCAACACTGCCAAGTCAATTGGGTCTAATTGAACATTTTGAGTTTCCTTGGAATTCGAAGAAGAAAAGATACACTAATTAAACATGGAACCTAGAATCTTCCCATCTTGAGACAGGCTCACTAACACCAGAAAGTAAGCGTTATCTCTTCATGGATCACTGAGTAAGTACATGTACACTTCCTCGTGAAACTTAATCTTGAGTTCTCAAACTTAAAGGTTAGTCAATGAGTTTTGAATTATTGATATCACCATGGTTCTCGGAAGTCGTTTGTGCACAATGTAGGAAAGTTTTTGAACAAGAAGAGATAACCCTTCACACCTTTCCACTTCAAAGATTTGTAAGACTGATTTCACATCATAATGAAAAGTCACTTATGGATATGTTTACAATTTCCCTAAATTTAAATGACTTACATTGTAGGTATACTGAAGCAAATTAGTTTAGTCGAATTGGGTTTTTATATGTTCACGAAATGAATGTTTATTTTTTTTATAAAGAAGGCTTATATTATTGGAAAGAATATAGTAACTATTTTGATAGTGTCGCGTTCTCTCAGCTGGATGGTTTAATTGTGAAGCTTTCTATTGTCCTTCTAGACACATATCGTCAGCATAAACGTCAGAAGTTTTATGGCATCAGCCATGTAGAGACAAATTAAAAGTAGTACCAAATACTTAAACAGAATAGGTAGCGTTATTGCTTGTATTGCACCGTCGTTGATTGGACCGAATTGATCAGTCTCTGTTGGCATATGGGATAGTAGATAACGCTGTCGCGTTTGAAACGATCGCTGACGAGTCCCAGTCCCGGTGGGATCAACATCACTCACTGGGACGCAAATACATACAGCTGACGAGTCCCAAAACAGGACGAAATTCTCATCCTGGATTCCACTTCTAGCCAATGCCCATCGTTACTATACAAAGAATGGGTAGCTATAAGGTGACTGGATGTATGATGGCAAAAGTCTGGTCAACTAAACAAAACGTAACTAACACCGAAGGAAATCTTGGTTTATGAAACACATGACCTCATTCTTTACCTTCTCTTAAATTCAAAATAAGTGATCCTATCAAACCCGATTGTTATTGCCTACTTTCAACTTAACTCTTAAGCCACTACTGAAGTGGCTAACACATTGTGTTAAAAACAGCGGCAATGTATACTGAAGCACTGTTACTCCTGTGCACGTAACACATTGGTTAAGTCAGTTATGTCTAAACCATGGAGAAGATATAAATCAAATTTGAAGGTGCTTTCTATAAAAATTCTATAATCAGTCATGCATAATCACATTCATGCTATGAACAACGTTCATATATATCGTTGTAACGTGATAAAGCATCAACTATTATAAGTATTTACAATCACAACGATAATTCACCCACATGAAATGTTTTTCTTGAACGAATATTAAACAAAAAAAGAGATGATGAATTCATCAGTCTAGTTTCATTTACTAGTTATGATAGCTGATATCTATGAATAAAACCATCAGGTGCTGTTACAAGTATCAGTTATATAACAATTTCTTACTTATGTCATGTGAAACACTGATTAATTGAATGGGAGAGAGGGAAGGATTTTTAATCAGTAATAAATATGTATGTACTTTTGAATTTCTACTTAAGAGTGATTAAAACACAAGTGAATGATTACAAATTATATCATCAAATGTGGAGATAAGTAGAATCTACTCGTATTTTCTTTTGTATGATTCATGACAGTTAAATTTCATAAAATTATGAAGGGTCAACTGGATGACAATCACTTAAATGATATTAAGTAGTAACTAGTAGTGAAACCGAAAATCTAGATTCCGTCCAATTTATACTCTAATTCTTAGAATATATGTGTACATTTCACTTGATGTGACTAATGTCCCAAATGTTAGGTCGATATCTACAAAGTCCACAAGGTCCTTTGTATAATGAGTGTTAGTTTTCAAGCAGTTTAATTTCAGTCTAATTTGTTGACTTACCACACTGTGTTGATCAAAACTGTTTACTGGTTTGGGGAGCATTAAAGAAAACAAGCTTATATGTTAAGGAATGTTTTCATTAGATATAGGAAATCACGGACAATTCGGTTACCCTTCCGTTCTCAAACACAACCACAGGGAGTACTAGAAATCTTCGAACTCTATGATATTTCCATTCAGTCACTGAAATGGATCTGACGACCTACATTTCACAACTTCAGTTACTTAGTAGTGTAGAATGAACACCATCCATCAATAAATTGTGTTCACTCTTAGATTTTCTTACTTGAAGAACGAAGGTTCTTTGCTTGAAGGGCATGTCTACTCTGCAGTGATGTGGCCAGTTGGGCCAGGTTCTACATTGATATGTCAGTCTGTCTGTCCCCATCGGAACTAGTGATAAAGTAGTGATTTCTTGATATTCTCTTGCATCATTTTGATGTTGCATAGACCTACTTTGGCTGCTACCGTATGCAGTTTCCAATTCTTCCATTAACATTTTTTTTATTGCGCATCCCTTCAGTAGGCTGATAGTATCCTGCACGTTACCGAGCTAATCAAATAAGCCTTGATGATTGTGTTTAAATATCATTTCAAAAAGGGTAGTATACATTTGATTAGTCTGACAATTCGCTGCATACCTTCAGCCCACTTTTGTGAAATTCTGTTTCAAAATTCGACAGATAGATAAAGGACTATCCGGACTACTAGCTACTAAACTCATGTTTAGGTATAGCAGAATGGGAGTTTTGAGACTTAGAAAGACACATCATTACCCTCAACATCAACATAGGACCAGGCCTTACTGCATGACGGTCCAATTTGCTTCACCTCACATCAGCATATCAAGCTAGAAAGCAATAAGATGAAATATAAAGAAGTAAAGAAGAACCAATTGAAAGTATAAAGTTATGATAACATAACAAGGTGGAATAAGATAATACCGGATACAGTATAACACTTAAGATTAAGATAGTATGTAAATACATCTTTTCCAGTGATATCGATTCTCAACCATATCGCCAAGAGTCTCCAACCGCTGGTTTCTCTTGTACCACGGACTCCAACCAACTAGTCTGTGTCTCCTTACATGGCTCATACCAACAGTCAAAGACTTCATACACTGATGCCATGCTCTAATCTGGGCTCCTTGAGCCTTATTTCGGCCAAAACCTACTTCAGCTAACACTGCACGACTAGGCAGATGGAGACTAAGAATGTATAAGACATGTCCTAGGCACCTAAGGCGACGAATGTTTGCAATCTCATCAACTGACTTTCTTCTCCTGTTTAAAACCCTACACCTGACGTGGTTATGTTGCGACCCGCGGCCTATACTACAAAAGCAACGGTAGTCAAACACCTACAGTCTTTTCATACTCTCTAATTTTAATGACCATATTTCTCAGCCATGCATTGGAACACAGTGGACTGCGGCGCTATAAATGGTGCAAGTTGGTAGAAGCCAATCAAGCCTTTTGTGTCCATGCAGAGATTTCATTAGCCAATCACCCACCAGCGCTGATCCGAATCGCTCAACCACTTCACTCCCAATTGTTAGACTTGGAGCAGCCATTTACATTTGGGTGACGAGAAGTGCACGCATCTCAAACATTCTCAAACTATGACTCAATGTGTCCAGAAGGCTTTGCACCTTTTCAGGGTCTTCACTTAACAGGACTATGTCGTTCGCGCACTCGGGATCTAACAAGGATTTTTCTCTGATAAGATCAATCCCAATGAAGGTAGATGACGACAGGGGGGATCTCCAGTTAGAAGGATGCAATATATATATATATATATATATATATATATATATATATTTGTAGACTAGTGAATACAATAATTAGGGAAATCAGATGGAAAAAATTAACTTGTACAAGTGTGAATAAGACAGCAGAATGAAGTAACTAGGAAACACAAAATCAACTCATCCGATCCACGCACACACCTTCAAGTAAAACATGAATGAAGTGAATAGACTTTTTAACTGCAAACAGACGTACTTTGTGTATCACTGAACAGCGTATATTGTACGGATAAGGAATATTTTTATTTGAAGCTAAAATATTTAGTATAAGAAGGGGAAGTTGATGACATTTAGAAAAAGGATGCCGGGAACCAATTTCTTCCACAGTATTAAATATGAGAATGTCAGTATTCACTTTCGAGCTGTGTTTTTTGATCTTAAGAGAAGCAATATGTTATTTGTCTACCTCCATGTACTGAGCTAATTGCGAAGATGTATCTCAAAATTATAAACCAACATCACACTCTAAAATATGAATACCAAACTGAAGTCAATGAATAAATCCCTAAAAACGTCCGAATTGGATTAATCTAGTGCTTACTGGTGACATACTTCAAGATGAAATCCCTGAAAAGTCACTAATGGTGGGGCCAACCAGGTCGGATGTGAAGCAGTCACTCAATGAGGGCAGTGGATGGAGGGTACACCATATTGTGAACTGAAAGAGGTAGGTAAACATGGGCTGTTAGATTCCGATCCAATGACCCAATGGTAACATCTTGGCTGTGGAACATAAAGGTCCTGGGTCTGATGCCTGACAGAATCATAGGGGGTGCACTGCTTAGAGGTTGCATAATAGAATGAAACAGCTGTCCGGTGTTGCCGGTTTCGAATGGTGCCCCAATTGGTATAGGTTCATGATGAATATCGACCGGTCTTTCAATCTAATGAATATGAAATACATTTGGTATTGTCGGTTGGCATTGGGCAACTAGTAAGACTCAAACTAGCTACCACAGTGCTGTGAGGACAGCCTCGCTTACAGCTGGATCACCCGAGCCTCTGACAGTTTCCAAACCCAGCATAATGTTAGATAGATAACTGTCATACAAGATTCTGTGTTCTAATGCTTAAAACTGAGCTGTGTCGTATTTCAGGAGTTATTTGGTAGCAGCCCCTGACATGTAAGACGAAACACAGTCTATAGCTGTG